CAGCAAGTGGACTTCATGAGGCGGGTAACACCTTATTCTCAATATTCTCATCTATATTCGCGTTTATGTTCTTATTGAGAAGTTATTAATTACAGTTACTCTGGCTTTCAACTAGTGGGTAATGAGCTCAAGCATGGATATAACAGATTTCCCTCATCGCCTAGCGAATGAACACATATATGGTGTGTTGCTGAAAAAGTTTATTTAGCTACCTACCAGGTAATTCAACCAGCCATGTCAAAACTCTTCAGATACTGGGTGATTAGACACATCTATTGCTTTTGTGTGTACTAATAATCCCCGCTTACATCGATAATCACACCTATGAGACATCTGACCCAAATTAAAAGACAGACAAGTTTTGAGGCAGGTCACTTAATTCTGTTATAGCGTTGTGATGAACCATGGCGATTTAAGGTAGAAAGTGTGAAGAGATTACAGATTTTGGATTACATAAGTCTTCACAGCACAATTCATGGGTGCAGAAATCACTGTTGAGGTTGCGAGTAGAGTAATAAGTGGGCCAGTCAATGATGCTACAAATTTACGCTGACTCGATTTGAGATGAAGGTCAAAGTAAGATTCAATTGGAAGGAGGTTAAGGTTAGTCTTGGCTATGTAGGCTACCTAACTAAAGTCCTTCACACGATAAGAACCAGTGATTGGAGACTCTTAGTGACACAGCTAAACATCAACTACAAATGCGTAGATACATATATGCCCTTTGTCCTCTTCGCAAACTTCAACCTTTTTTATTCATCTTTGCGTATTTACATTCGCTTCTATAGGCGTTTCATACACTTTCGTCCTTTGTGGGGGTGGCATGGTAACTTCAAGTGATGCACTTATGTGTCTCACATAATCGTACAATTCGCCAACCAAGTCTATCGAACAAGAAACCGCACCAATTTTTGAGAGCGTGGAATATTTTCTGTCAGCATAGAAAATATTGATAGCTGAATCAAAGCTTTAACATATGACACACCAGTTGAAAACAGACTAGCTAAACCAGAGAATCACACCTCGAAATCTAAATTCACCAACCGATATCTGGTCAGTCATGTAGAATGAAAGCCTTTACAAGGTAAATGTGCTTACTTGCCTAGTCTATGACCCTGTATACGGTTTTTAAAGAAGACTGTGTCTCAAAATAGAAAACAAAGATAGAAACAAGATGAATTCAATCAGTTTAAATTAAAAATAGATAGTTCTGCAGAATTGCAACAATATTAATTAATTGAAGGGGATCGGCAGGAAGCCCTGCTTGGCCAATGTTTCGTGCTTGTTAGTACTCGTCAACGAAGAGAATCCGCCACCTCAATGTCTCACTTGAGATTCGAACCCGTGTCACCAAGTGTTACAGAGACGTTACCATTGGGTTTATTTAGGCTGCGACTGACCTCCTGTAGGACTGGATCACATACATTGATTGATCATTGGACAGCAAGCAATCTCATATTGTGTATTCCAATGTGACCACTAAGCTAGAAGATTCAGCATTGCGGTGCACGTTGATAGACGTTAGTTGGGCGGAGGGAATCGTGCTTTTTGGTACTCATCAGCAAGAGGCATATCTGCAACCTCAAGGGAACTGATGTGTCCACTGTGAGGTTCGAACACGCGTCACCCAGTGTTGTAGATACGCGTTGCTGACAAGCGCCTTCAAGTACGAAACCTAGGCCAAGCAGTGTTTCCTGCTGATCACCTCCAACCAACTAACGTCAATCAACAAGCATCGTGATGCTGACCCTCCTAGCTTGGTGGCCACATTCAAAAAATGCTCCATAGAATTCAGTAAGGATACACGGAATTAGACAACACCAAGTTTGTTACCCTCAAATGACCAATCAATGCATCTAATCCAACCATACAGGGGGTCAGTCAGGCCTGGAATAGCTCAGTGATAACGTTGCCGACTACAACACTGAATGACCAGGGTTCAGGCGGGCAATAGTTTCTTCGAGGTTGCAGATACGCCTTGTTGACGAGTACCAACAAGCCCTAAATCTGGGACCAACTAGGGTTTCCTGACGATTCCCTTCAACCAACTAATATCTACTAATGTGCACCGCGATCCTGAGCCCCCTAGCCTGGTGGCCACATTGTATATATGATCAATAGATCCGGTTTGCACTCAGGACTATACAGCATCAGGTTGCTTTCTCCCTACTGATCAATGAATAGTCGCAACAATCTACTTCACACAGACAAAACTGATCACATCGTATCCATGATAACATAATCCCCACAAATATGGAAACCGGGACTGAAAATGAAAAGTCTACTTACGGAAAAATTGAGCTTACTAAGTATCAACACTATAAAAACAAGCTTAAAAGTGGATTTTTAAAAAACGGTGAAGAAAGTAAGTGACTTGAAGACAAGAATATATCATAACAGTAAATATAAACAAGAGATCTGATACCAACTGTGTATTACTCCTTCATCTCACTTACATCTAGACAACATGTAAGAAGATGGTATAACCAAAATTCGTGAAAAGGTATAAAAAACAAAAGAGAAAGGAAGGATTAAATAAGTACAAGACAAGTTTTCATATAACGATGTGAATGGATTTACACACCACTGGAATCCAGTCTTTAAGTTAACATGAGAACATCAAGATTAGAAGGTGATAGTTATCGATTACACTTCAAATCAACAATCAGAAACTTGATATCTTATGTCCAACAAGACACTAACCCTACCGACAAATCCAACTCTAGATATGTTTAACTATAGATGAAGAGGGTCGTCTCCCACCAGCGTTTATCACTGTTTCACACTCCATTTGTTTTTGAAGACATTTAGGCACATGTTCTCCCACCCTCAACTGCATGACTCGATTACTCCCCCCTATGCATATGTGACTAAACACACACACACATGTAAATTGGTGAACACAATGGGATGTGACGTAATCACTGACGCAGTTTTTAAGTTTTTGGTGAAGCATGTATTTTGTTTTCTCCACAATGGTAAGATTAGTCGTGTAATATGTTTTCGTAATGACTGATGTCAGCCTACATCTCAAAATGATACTATTTAGCTCCCCTGTGTATGGTAGAGTGATATAAACACTTTTCTTAGGGACAATGTATCGAGTTGGCTTTTGTGCTACTCGACGTCTACAACGGTTTATGAACTTCGTCGGATATCGATTTTCCATAAGTGCTTTGGTCAGTAATTTGATGTCTTGATCCATCGTATCTGGTGTACTGATACGATAGATCCTATTAAACAGGCATTTTATTAGACCTCGGTTGTATTGGAGTGGACAAAAACTGTGGAAATTCAGGTATTGTCTTGTCCATGTAGGCTTTCTGTAAACTGTCTTATTGAACCATCTCGTCGACTGAGGAGTATATCTAGGAATGGCAGTTGATTACTATTCTCTTTCTCACAAGTCAGGCTGATGTGTGTTTGTATGGCGTTAAGTCTATTTAGTAGACAAGCCATATCCTCATGCCTCTCACAAATCACTATGATGTCATCAACATATCTCTTGTAAAGAGGAACTTTAGTGATGAGATTACCAGCCAGATTTTCAATATATGGCATATAAATATCAGCTAGTAGTGGTCCTAATGGACTACCCATAGCTACACTGTCACGTTGTTGAAAACGTTCACCTTCAAATATGAAGTGGACTTTGTCAGTACATAGCTTTAATAACTCCTTCAGAAAGGTTGAAGTAATAGGAAATTGGAGGTTTGTAGGAGATATATATAGTCACAGAGAATGCTAATAGTCGGCCAATGGCACGCCAGTGAATAAGGAATTTACAACGCAAGAGTACATTATCTTGCTTTTTATATTCATGGTACTAAGACAGTCAACAATTTGAAAAGAATCTTTCAATGAAAACTTACAGAATTCGTTTCGAACTGGATCTAACAGTTTTACTAACCATTTCGACAGTTTATGTATGGGGAAACGACACATAGACGATATAGGGCGTAAAGGATTATTAGCTTTATGAATCTTAGGTAATCCATATAAATTTGGAAATTCGGATCCCATAGGTTTCAATGAATTGAATTCCTCTTTGCTTTCAAAGTTTTATATAGAAACAGTCAGCCATGTATTCTGAGATTTGCGTAAGCCATAGCCATTCACAAGTTTAAACCACCTACATGGACAAGACAATACCTGAATTTCCACAGTTTTTGTCCACTCCAATACAACCGAGGTCTAATAAAATGCCTGTTTAATAGGATCTATCGTATCAGTACACCAGATACGATGGATGGAGACATCAAATTACTGACCAAAGCACTTATGGAAAATCGATATCCGGTGAAGTTCATAAACCGTTGTAGACGTCGAGTAGCACAAAAGCCAACTCGATACATTGTCCCTAAGAAAAGTGTTTATATCACTCTACCATACACAGGGGAGCTAAATAGTATCATTTTGAGATGTAGGCTGACATCAGTCATTACGAAAACATATTACACGACTAATCTTACCATTGTGGAGAAAACAAAATACATGCTTCACCAAAAACTTAAAAACTGCGTCAGTGATTACGTCACATCCCATTGTGTTCACCAATTTACATGTGTGTGTGTGTTTAGTCACATATGCATAGGGGGGAGTAATCGAGTCATGCAGTTGAGGGTGGGAGAACATGTGCCTAAATGTCTTCAAAAACAAATGGAGTGTGAAACAGTGATAAACGCTGGTGGGAGACGACCTTCATCTATAGCTAAATATATCATAGAAACAGGTCACAAAGTTAGTGTTCGAACAAATCTAGCTAGATACACTGAAATCTACATAGTCTTTATGGACATCAAATAGGTCAGAAATCTAAGAATAGAATACAATGCATATAATACTCTTATAAAAAGAAAATAATATATATAAAATGATACATCTGTGCTTTCATTCATTAAATGGTAAAGACTACTATTATTATTATTATTATTCGTTGAAAACACTAAACAATCAATGTCACAGTAGGATCTACCAATCAAGTCAATATATAACCTCGATTACATTAATCCAGTAATCCATGTTAAACGTATCACATGATCAGTTTTACGCCGAGTTGATTTAATACAACCTAATAACTGTAATTCTGCCAATCCTTGTAAGAAACGAGATCTAAAATTAAAAATTATATTGAATACACTTTACTGAAATGATAAGATAAGAAATAAACCCAACTTAATCTTCAACATTGAATTACTAATGTAACTAAAATCATAAAATTGTACTATTTATACTGATCAACTGAATGAGTAGTGTAGGCCACTTAATGAGTAGTAGTAGGGATCCAGAAAATAAGTATTTCGTCCTACTTAAGACTCATCAGCTGGATGTACCTTCACCCCACCCCTACCTGACACTCTGACGCATAGCTTCAAACACGTCAGTCAGTGAGAACAATATCACTCACTAGGGTACATGTACTACCAGTTGACTAGTCATAGATAGGACAAAACGCGCGTCCTGTATCCGATTGTTAGCCATCAAAATCGATTACAATACAATGAATAGCCAAGCGGTATCAAGGCATCTGCATAGGAACTCATCTTCCATAAAAAATCACCCAATAAAGCAACAGCAAAATAAAATTATCAATAAACAACTCAGATCTAAACAACAAATAATCGTTTCACTATATTAAACCTAAGTTTATCAACTAGAAAAAAATTGAAATGCACTGAGCAACCATGTGCAGTAAACAATAAGCCACACTTTTTGTGTGACGGTCAATCATACCACCTGGCCGCCAACAGCTTGGCACATGGAGTGGGGTTCGAACCCATGACATACAGGTGGAAAGGAATCTCTCGTTCAGACAAACTGAAGTATCGTTATCTACTTAAGTAGATAGATGAAACCTAGAATTAAATGAAGTACTTGAAAAGTGTAAAATCTGTACAACCGAGAAAGATGTAACTGTGAAGGTTTACAATAGTTTCATGTGAAAATCCAAAATATATATAACCTGTTCAGAGTTATAAGCATAGAGGATGTACAATATGTACTGGTGCTCAAAGTTCCTATTGGACTATCTTGCAACAATAGCAAGCAAGCAGATATTAGGAGTAGTAATCAATTGAAATGAGACAGTTCAAAACAATATCTACACATGTAAATTATCATGTGTTCACAAGCAAATATGTTTCGATCATTTTTATCGTTTTCATCATCACTCCTACAATTTATTCGGATATTATAAAACCCATTGAAAATTGATATTGATCTGTGTCATTACAAAATATTTCTTAGCAGTCTACAATGACAATTTCAACTGATCGTGATCAGTTTGTATGAAAATTGTCCGATATACATTTATTTCATGGATGGATTTGCACTACTAAAATGTAAATCAGTAGTTAGTGAAGAAAAACATCAAGAAACAGTAACATATGAAAACATGAAAAGCTTGTCTAATATATTTGTGGACATATCTCTATAGCAAAGGGTTGGCTATTCACTTTAACAATAAGTATCTGTACAGAAAGAAAGGCATAAAAAAATCTTTTCAAGACAGTATTAGTAAACGACTACTGACTTTGAAATACAATGTGCTGAATGATGCATTCTGTTCAGAGTAAAGCATGCCTTAGAACGATACAAATGGACATTTTTTATTTCTAAAAGAAATATTCGACTTACTGAACTTCTTGAGATGGAGGATTATTCATATCAACTTTCTCACCCAGTATAGTTGCAAATGCCTACACAACAACAATAAAGTATCATATATACAAGTTGAAAATGATATTTGGATAAATGTAGATTAGAAGATTGGAGTTCATTTGAAAAAAGGCGGTGTATTTGCGATATAAACTTCGATCAATCTGATGACATATTTACTTGTTATGGCGTTTCATATGAAAACAAGAAGTGGCACAACGACAAATATGATGAAGGAATAAAGGAATATGATAGTAAGAAAGGTAATAAAGGGAGAATGTTGAGTTTTCCAGACAACTTAAGTAGTACGTGAAGATAAACATTACCAGGGTAGGTTTAGAGTAAGGATAAACTGTTTTCGAACACATAAATGAAGAGTGGGGGGAGGTAAATTTGATCATGGTCAGCGTATCAACAATATGTTTACAACAAAGACCTGTATAAACAACTGTGTCACATACCACTTCACGTATCAGTTTATCTGGAATCTTCCAGTAACTTCTATTTTCCTATCCCTTCAACGTTTTTTAAAGAACGACCAACACTGTGTAGTGGTAAACTTCATTTTACATAAAAAGGAGAATATTTTCTCTAGTTGTTATTCATCGTAGACTGACATCAGTTGAAAGAACAAAGGAAACCTGGGAGCACTGGACAGCTGTTTCGTCCCACTTACATAGGACTCCTCAGCAGTGCGCACCCACGACCCCACCAGCAAGGATCGGACCCGCGACCTTCAGGTTCGGCGGCCAGCGCATTACCATTGAGCCACTGGGTCAGAACCCAATGCTCCATATTTTCAACTTCTGTTAGCTCAAGATATATAGCGCAACCGCCACCCAGTGGCTCAATGGTAACGCGCTGGCCACCGAACCTGAAGGTCGCGGGTTCCATCCCTGCTGGTGGGGTCGTGGGTGCGCACTGCTGAGCAGTCCTATGCAAGTGGGATGAAACAGCTGTCCAGTGCTCCAAGGTTTCCTTTGTTCCTCCAACTGATGTCAGTCTATGATGAATAACAACTTGAAATAATTCCAAATCTCCACAACTCCCTCAAAATTTAAGAGAATATTTTCGATGAATTAGACGACGTGGCAATAAGGAAGTCCAGTACGACCATTGCTAGCTGATAGTTATATAACATATATTCAAGGCTGAATTGATGATGTCATTAGTAAAGTTAGTCTTTATAAGAGGTATGCAATATGAAGATTCCATATCTTTTCTACAAAAACTTAACACCGTACACAATTATATACGCTTATCATTTGAAGAAGAAAGAGAGAACTGTTCACTCTTCTTCCTGTATGACTGAGATAAACACACACACACACACACACATTGATCAAATTTGCACAAATGACTTGAATATATACGACCTTCTCCACTTTTCTAGTGATGCTTGATTATTACTACATTAAACCGAAGTGCGTAGTCCCTTTTGATGCATGAGCTCCTATGTGGATATCGTAATTAATGTCTGAAGATTCATTATGCTGCGTAATTTACGTCTTGGATTTTACTTTTCACCACCACGAAGTAAATAGAGTAAAAATAGATCTTCGGGCGATAACAACGGATCCCCACATAGCACTTCATATATTAACAGAAACCAATCAATTTGATTTAGTATAACAATCAAGAATAAACTATAAATGTAAATAAATAATAAACGATGCCACCAATTGTATGAGAGGTGGTTTTCATAACTCATTAACCCTAGTGAAGTTCAAAGTCATTGGTGCTGAACTCCATCATCATCATCAATAACATAGGACTAGGCATTACTGAGTAACAGTCCAACTTGCCACACCTCATATCACTACATCAAGTTAAAAGGCAGTGAAGTGGAAGATGAACAAAAGAAAATTCTGTCAAAAGAAATATATGGATAAAGTACGAAAAGCGAGAAAGGAAGAATGAGAAAGTAGTGAGATTCAGTATAACCTTGTTAAGGTGAGGATAATATGTGTGCGGATACATCTGCACCACTGACATCGGTTCTCAGCCATGTGATCATCTAGAGTCAGTCTCCAACCACTGATTTCTCCTGTCCCACTGACCCCAACAAGTTAGTCTGCATCGCACCACATGGCTAAAACCAACAGTCAAACACTTCATACATCCATGCCATATTTTAGTCTGGTCGAGAGCTAAAAGCCTTTTGTCAGCCTGAACCTACTTCGGCCAACATTGTGTGACGAGGTGACCGGTGACTAGGCATCCGTAACACATGTTCCAACCATCTCAGTCAACCAAGGTTAACAACCTCGTCCACCGACTTACCTCTTCTCCCTCCCTAAAACTCCACACCTGACTTCTGCGTTACTCACGTGATGACACCATGGTGTACGGCCTATACTACGAAGGCAAAGGTAGTTAAACATCTGAAGCCAGCCTCCTCATGTCTTCCACCTTCATTGGCCATGTTTCACAGCCATAGAGTGGAACAGAACGGACTGTCATGCAGTACACGCAACTCTTAATAGACAATCAGATATCACGGTGGCGCCACAGTTAGCAAAATCTAGGCGAAGTTTTGTATTCGTGCAGAGATTTCATCGGCCACTGAGCCATCAGGGCTGATCTCACTTCCCAGGTAAGTGAAGTGGTCAACACACTCATCTACTACACTATTGAAGATCAACCCAAAAGCAATAATTTGCATTTGGGTAGTGAAAAACGTATCCCAAACATTCTCAAATTCCACTCAAAGTGTTTAGAAGACTCTTCATCTTGTCAGCGTCTTCACCTAACATGACTATATGTCAGGTAAAGAATGAGCTCCAATTTCAGTGAGATATACAGGCATATACAACTGATGAATCCTGAATAGGATGTAATGCGCCACTAATGAATAAAATAAAACGAATAAAGTGTTTACTAATGTGTAAAACACATGCACACAAAAAGATACACTTACTAGTAACCAATCATACAAGTTGACCATGCTTGACGTTTCAATCAGTAGTTTATATAGAATGCAAAGATCGAACAATTTCGATGAGATATTACTTGAACTGGACAACTTGAAGTCAGGTATCTACAAAACGGATTATTATTTAACAAAAGATATGACAAATTCATGGTGTGAAACATATATATAATTGAAAAACAAGTAATGAGACCTGAAAAATGTATGCTGTTTGCAAGAAAATCTTCAAATCTTATGATTGATGATCACAACTGAAACACTGATAACCTTTTGAATTGTTAGTATACGAACTAGAACTGACTGAAAATTCTCAATTCAAATCTGAATCATTGAGACATAGAATATTCACCTTAACAGTGTAAATACTTTCAAGTTTATAGCTAGAGGTTTATGGAGATTGATTAACTGATTTCAGGGTTGGAATTCATCACGGAGTGATGTCATTTGGACGCCTAGGAGTACTAGGCATCTATTTCACCCTGATATGGCACTCCTAAGCACTGCTTACCCATGATCCCGCCCCTCCACGGATCGAACCCAGAATCTTCAGGTTCTGTGGCTAGCACTTTACCATAGAGCAACAGCGTAGAACATGAGGACAGTTACTCAACGACAACACTGGATATAGGCAGCGCTATATTGTGAACTGACAGGAGTTGGAAATATAGATTATTAGAATCCGAACCAGTGCCTTAATGGTAACGTGCTAGCGGCGGAACCTGAAAGTCCTGGGTTCAATTTCTGGCGGGGTCATGGGTTCGAACTGTTGAAGAGTCCCATACTAGGACGAAACAGATGTCAAGTGCCCTCAGGTTTTCAGTCTATCTGTAACTGATTCCAGTCCATGATGAAGTCCAACATTTCCATTTCTCGTCAGTATACGCATGCCTACCAGCACCCGATGTGTACCATATCCTATGATCTTGAAGCAGTATTAAACTCCCGTTTATTAATACTTGCAACTCCCTGTCGCTAGACTGGGTTGAATCGTTCAACCTCACTTGACAGATGAGCTCCCTATGTGGACGCCTGGATACTGCCCGGATATTCATTACATTGTAGTATATTTGGTGGCTAGCAGTGGAATCCAGGACGCGCGTCTCGTCTTATTTAGGGCTCGTCGGCTGGATGTATCTTCACTCCAGTGGGTGTTGTTGTCCCCACTGGGACTAGAACTCAGCAACCATCGCTTTAAATATCAAGGAGTTATCCACTACACCACAGTGGCATGAGAGCCACCACTTGTACAATGGGTATTACTTCTTGTTTATTGATACTTGCAATTTCCCGTCGCTATACACGGTCGAAATTACAAGCAACAATAAACAACAACTAATGCCGTTGCACAAATGGTAGCTCTTGTGCTCAGGTGGGTTAGCGGATAATACTTTGCTGTTTGAAGCTCTGGGCACTGGTTCGAGTCTCGGTGGAAACAATATTACTCACTGGAGTGAAGGCACACCCAGCTGATGAGTCCCAAATAGGACGAAACGCGCACCCTGGATTCCACTGTCAGTCACCAAATAGACCACACTAGTTAATTTTGTGTTGTGATGGTGCCTAGAAGAAGTATCGAACAGGCAAAGACTACAAAAGTCCGGGGTTTTCTAAACACCTTAGGCAACATTTCAGGTGTGATTAGTTTGTGTTTCGGACCTTTTAGATATAAGATGACGTTCCAAGATTAACCTGTAACCACCCCTAGTATGAACTGCTGGAACTTGTTAAACACTTTCACTTACTAGCAAATGGGTTGGTTGTTGATGAAATCTCAATTCAGATACAAAAGGCCTTTTAAACACTTAGCAAATTAAGCCGTTTCCAGAACCGATGATACTTTTTGATCGACTATTAAAATACGAGTAAACTGTGCAGAAGTCCACTCTGTTCTATTATATGACTGAGATATGATCCTTCAAAGTAGAATATATGAAGAGACTACAAGATTTGATCGCAGATATCTTCATAGCATTGCTGGCAAGTGGTGAACAATGCTAAGGTTGGGTATACAGTATTAGGTAAAGAAAGCAAGGTAGTCGATGCAGTTGTGAACCTTCTCCAACTCATGTGGTGGTGACTTAGACATGTACTGTACATGCCAAATGATCATCCACCTTGACGTTCAATGTTAGTCAAACTAGAAATGCGTTGGAAACAGTCAAAGATGTCCACAGAGAAAAGTGGTCTTTGACTATGATTGTGAGTCGTAGACTTCTTGATTGAGTTACATCAGCACAGGTGTAATCGATGATCGGAACCTCTGAATGACACGGCCTCAATAATATACATGACTTCATAATTTAATACTAATCTGAGTATCACATCGTTTCTCCTATTCCCTTTGTCTTACGGGATATCGAAACTACAAATATCACTTGCCCTCCATTATCCTTTTTCTTGTTCACTTTTGAACCGATGTGAATTATTTCAGTAATGTCACTGTCCTCTGTTGATAACACGTTTCTTTCTGTCAACAGGACTTCAGGTGACGGCATACACACATTCATAACAATAAGTGATGACTATATTAATATGCGAAGTTCAGGATGTTAGTCACTTGCAAGCAATAGACAGGAAGCCCTACTTCACCAATGTTTCCTACTCCATGGCACTTATCAGTAAGGCGCATATACAACCTCAAAGGAATTGTTGTCTCCTGAGAGATTTGAATCCAGTCAGAGACGTTATCACTGAACTAATCGGGTTACAGTTGACCTCCTGTAGGACTGGATTAAGCCCGCTGATTACTCACTCTAGTTGTCTAGTCCTAAGTGCTGACCAAGTTAATCAATCATTTCCTGTAATGTAGTAACCAGTATAAATAACAAATTGAAGAAGCATAACTTGATCAATTTAGCTGATCTGCTTACCAGTGTAGACGATTCCCCCTAGGTATTTATTGAACAATGAATCAAAGAAAAACTGAACGAGATGAACAACATCCTACCTCATATTCTCAAATCCTCTACCAACTAACAAGGTTTACCACATAACAGATTGAATCCAAGACTTTGAGAGTGTACTAATTGTGAATTCTGTAGGAATGTTAAACTTTCTTTTACAACACAGTAGATATGCCTTACAGAATTACTTCCCATCATTAAAACTTGTTTTTGAGACAGTACGCACCTATTCATGAGGTTGTTTCACTGAAGAGAATTTCATGAAAATCAAGATAGTGGGTAAAAGAACCATCTCAGGAGGAAGGTTCAGCATAAATTATTCCTACAATTTTGCTTTCTCTTCTCTCTCTCTCTCCCTGTGGGGATGTTAGACAGTCAAGAATGAACGCGTATCGATGACTACACTTGTAAGAAGTCCATGATAGAAAATTGAAATTCGCTTTGTGCACCCCACTGCCTGCTGTGTACTGCTTGTTTTAGTAGATCTCGACAACCACGATGATGACAACAGATATACTCTCTTTGGTTCAAGCAAACCACTTCAATCCACCGCTGTCTTATCTCTTGTGTTAGCCTAATGAGTCGTGAAAACTTCAACGTTTAACTTACCCACATTAACCACATCAAAAGTTCAGATACACAGCACACACACACACACAACAACAACATGAAGGTATAGAAAAATGGAAGTGACCGCAGAATAACAAGCAGAAATAACTTATGAGAAGAACAAACCTGTAAATAAATTCCAGGATTCACAAGTGCTTGATGTAAACAACGTTGAAGTGGAGGATTTAACCGACGTCGAATTGACAGCGCCAACTGTGAATGAATTGACTGATCAGAGGGTGGATTATATTCCAGTGGAGGACCATAGAAAACTTCGTGTAAAGGCAATTTGTTTGCCCATGGTATCAATTCAATCAGTTTCGTCTGAATCCAACTCAGAAATTCTTTACGTGTCATATCCCATTCTGTTTTATTATGAGCACATGGTGAAGAAATAACATCAGAATGACTTGGTGAAGATGCTGCATACTCTTGAAGATGCTGAATAACACACGATTAGGTCATGTGAGAAAAAGATTAACGACATCAGATAGAAAAATGATACAACAGTCACAAACATGAAAGATGACTAGACGTAGAAAGTGATGGATATTTGGATGGATACAGTCAATGTCACAGTTAAGTTTATCCGAATTGTCGTATCATGCAACAAGACACTCAAAACAGAGATCCAACGTTCCCTTGCATATTCTTACACAACTGTATGAGTTGAAATAGAGGCTTTAGTGACACAATTATACCTCTATTCAGACAGGCAGCAAGTATGAGACAGTTGAAAACCGACACTATGATGAGTTTAAGGTCAGTAAGTTATTACAAATGTTTTACTAATAACCACTCATTGTACTTGCTTCATAAGCATAGAAATTATCCCGTCATGCTAGTACAGATTTCAGTTCATTCTGATGTTTGCAACTGTCTGAAGTCAGTGGGTTTCATGACATCTCTAACTCCATCCGCGTACTCTTCGGGCGTCATCTGATGCTAATGCAACAAACTTGCCTTTCGTCGCACGGTACTACATTGTTTACAGACCACTTCTGCACATTTTTTCAAATAGTTCTCAGGCAAAGCAAACGGTAAACGATATTGGAGCGACAAGAATGTCATTTGTAGCACACTATGAAGCACTAGAGTTTCTCCTCGTCATATGATCACCGATGATCTACCTGATTGTGGTCGATTGCACTGGACTCGATCATGCAACAAACTGTGAGGAGCTATGAGAATATGGGAATACGCTGGCTGGACCAATAAAAAGACCCCAGAAGAAGATTTGGATTTCGCCAACGATGATGATTTATTTCTAATGTCGCAAAACACGAAGATGTACAGGAGAAAACTAACAAGTTGGCAGAAGAGGCAGGACAGCGAAGGAAGACGGGATTTCCTTCAAGTGAATATAGAGAAGACAGAGGTGATGAAGATACCCAACCAACAACAACAACAACAAACATCAATCACCATCAACGGGAGAAATCTGAAGGAAGTAGTCAGACAGGCAACAAGTATGAGACAGTTGAAAACCGACACTATGATGAGTTTAAGGTCAGTAAGTTATTACAAATGTTTTACTAATAACCACTCATTGTACTTGCTTCATAAGCATAGAAATTATCCCTTCAGGATAATACAGATTTGTTAAGTTTGTGATCGTCTCAAGCCGGTGAGTTGCATGATACTTTAGACTATAGTAACTTGCTGCCAACATGCAACAAAGAACTGAAACACGTATTACTCCGCTAAAAGTGATTAAAGGTATAGAGTTCAAGTGAACATTTAATGTCTGAATTATTTAAGCAGATTGTAGAGATCAAATATCAAAAGAGATTTTTTATATAAGAGTAAAGCCATAGTCAATATACAGTATGGACGCAATGATATGGGTTACACAAAATAATGTGGCAACACGAAGAAGAAGAATGAGAGGGAGAATGGGGAGAATAAGAAGAGGAATGGGAAGAAGAAGTCCAAAAATACATTTGAAGTATTCAGTACTTTCGTTTTGCTCGTCAGGAATATAAGCAGGAAGAGCCCTGTCGTATGATTGTCACTGGTCTTGATTCTAAGTTATGTCTATCATTATCTCAAGCCACTGAGTTGTTTAACTTTCAGTGTATGAGGTCAGATGAAGGGTACTAGTCAAAGAAAGTAAGTCAGTCGATGAGGCAATGAAGCTTCATAAACTGAGGTGGCATGAACATGTTACGCATGCTGGAGTCACCGCCTACCTCAACGTCCAGTGGTACCAAAAGTTGAATTAATTTCGAGGAGGTTTCAGGGTGACCAGACTACGATGTGGCACCAACCCATGAAGTCCCTGACTATTGGTCTGAATCGTTTAGGGAGGTGTAGACAGGTTGTTTGGGGTCCTCGGTCACACCAATGGAGGAGATGCATTCACTATTTCATGTCTCTTAAAGATTGAACATTCTCACCAATTATGATTTTGTAATTTGTTTTCTTCCCATATACTATTCTGTATTTTGATATCTACTTTTTCTTTGTATACTGTTGGGAAGTGCGGTAACTTGAAGTGATGCACCTGTATACGAGGTCCTACTTTGATATTGTTTGCCTGTTTATCAGTGGCAGCCTTCAAGAGGATATGTGTAATGTATGTCCAAGCTACTAAATCTAATGTTTCAATATGACGACGCTGAATGACGATTTTCATCACACCTGAAAATACACAATCGCACCTTACAACTGCCAACAGAATGTTCCCATTGGATGTAAGCAATCCTACGGAGATAAAAGTGAGTGAAAATGCAGAGTCGTTGGACTAAGTTATTATTGTCGCCAAAGATGAACAAGACTGGAATATGCCAATCTGGTTGTTGATAGGCTGTTGGAAATCTCAACAGTAACACATCCACCAGGACTCATATGACTACGCGGATAAACAAGCTTTTCGACAACTTTCAGAGATTAATCATCAAAGGTGAGTGCAGGTACACACATATTCCTACTAATCAAACTAAGATGAGAAACACTCCAAAGTATATTGATTTTAAGAGTGAGATGAGTGATCATTCCAATATTACAAAAGAAAGAAATGAATACAATCCTGAAGTCAATAAATCCCTATAAACTATCATATGAACTATTGTCTGGTGCTGTTTAGTGCCTATTGAGTCAACTAAGTTGGATAGTCACAACCAATACTCATCAATGGCGATAGATGATCGTCGTACAATGTCGCGGATTAGTAGAGTCAGTTAAATTTGGACCAGTGTATTCGAACTCAGTAGCTAAGGAATAACGCGCTTTCCCTAAAACCTAGTTTATACTGTCGATGGGTTGGAAAAGCTGATTACTTCATGAAAGTAGACAAAAAACCAACTGATACCACCCTGAGACAAAAAAAATACCCAATTACTCATTGATATTGGAAGGTATACAAAATATAGGGAAACTTATAAAAGGCAGAAGACAGTTAGCTCAATTTTAATTAAGAATAGAAAAGATGTGTAGCTTATAATGACGATGATGGTGGTTCGGTGTCCTTTCATCACAAAGTTTATTCACGTCCTCAGTACTAACTTCATGAAGATTATTATTATTATCGGTCCCTTGGGTTCCTAGTGCAACATACAGCTTCACTAACACATCTCCATTCCACTCTCTTCTCGACAATCTTCTCTTTCAACCTGGCGCCACGACTTCCCACAACCTCTCATTTCTTCCTCACACCATCTCTTCCATGTCACCCTCAACTCGGACGCCAAACTCGTCGTTTCCCATCTGGCTTCCACTCCAACACCTGGCATGGCGCGTGATGTCCCCCAATAGTCTTCTCAGTCCATGCCCAGCCAGTACAATCCATCTCCACTTCCACACTCTTCTGCATATTTTTTCAGCCATAGCTTCTTGGTTGGTTCGTTCCCAGCCAGCCAGCCAGCCAGCCAGCCAGCTAGCCAGCAACAGTTCCTTGTTGCTTATTCTTTCCGACCATCTATCTCATCTTCAATAACCAGCGTAGACAGTTGTTCATGAATATCTGTAGTTTGTTCGAAATCCCCTTCATAACGCGCCAACTCTCTCAACCATCACATAGAAGCACTCACTTCACTGCATTGGTGTCCAAAATCCGGATCTTGTCCACGCTTTATACTGAGTGCAGAAGATCTTCACACTGGTTTCAAGTTAATGAACGCCTGTCTTGCTTTCCCGATCCTGACTTTGACGTCCTCATCTATGCCTGTGCCGCCTGTAATTGAAACGGTGCTGCCTAGATAGGTGAAAGAGGCTACTTCCTTTAAGTTTCTCCTCTTGATGGTGATTGGAACTTCATGAAGAAGTGAAGCATATTCCAATGTTATATGAATGTTTAGTTATCTTTTATTGACCTTAGAGGCTTTACAGCTTTTGATATACCTGAAACATCCAATAAGCGCATTATGTTACCCTATATCAAAGATACTTCACACAGCGTAAACCGACTGCTTCTTCCGTTCGAGATTGGAGTAGCACGCAAACCGATGAAATCAGCACACAGCATATTTCGCAAACTGAAGGATCCATTACCAAAGGAAGACGGAATAAATATAATCCATAAAAACAGCATCATGTTGACCAGTCTAGCCATTGTATGGTTCTCCAACTGTGATCAATACTACCCCTTGAAATACACACAACGTTTTCAAAGCCTGGTTTATACTGTCGATTGATTCGATAACTGACTGCTGATCCATAAAAGGAGACAAAAAGGTGATTGATACTACCTCATGAGATAGAACGTATAAGAGTTAGCCATTAATATACAAAATACGGCGAGACAAATAAATGGTAGAAAACAGTTAGTTTATGTTAAACACTGAAGTAAGGTTTCTTTTGATACAGCATTTAAAGCTATAACTCATCATACAATGAATCACAGGAATGAGGATATTCATCGGGATGAAAATACAATACAACATCAGCCATCAGTCATGTATACCATATAACATACTAGGTGAGATACGTACCGTTGTCAAGTATAACAATGAAGATGAGTACACCCGTCGTACAAGAAGTGGCTATCGTGGCTTGGTGGTCTAGTGGATAACGCTTTGGTGTTTGAAGCGTTCGGTCCCAAGTCCCGGTGGGAGCAACATCACTCACTGGAAGCTAGGTAAATCCAACTGATGAGTTCGAAATAGAACGAAACGTACTTCCTGAATTCTACTGCTATCCACTATCCATCATTAAACTTGAAGGGATGTCAACAAAATGGATTTTGTACCCTCAGAGAGTATTACTTCCCCATAAGTATTGATAATGTTTGAACCTACCCAAAAAATCACTGTAAACTTTGACATTTCTTCCTTTTACAAATCTTAAGATGAAACTAGAAACATGTGGCGCTTGAAATTCAAACACGGGGCTTCTTGTTGATTGCCTCCATCCACCTAACATCTATCAATGTGCACCACGATGCTGAGCTGTGTAGTCTGGTGGTCATATTGTAAAACGATCGACAGAATTCGGTTAGCGCTCAGAACTAGACAACATGAAGTTGGTTACCCTCCAGTGATCAATCAATACATGTAACTCAGTCCTATAAAAGGACAGTCGCAACCTGAATACCTCAGTGGTAACGTCGCTGACTACAATACTGGGTGATGCGGGTTCGAACCCCGGGCGGGACATCAGTTCAGTCGGGGTTGCAGATACACCCTGTTGGCGAGTGCCAAGAAACACGAAACCTACGTTCAGAGCTTCCTACCGATTACCTCTATCCAACTAACATCTGACAGATAAGTATAATGGATGATCTGAAGATTGTCTCAGCTAACCTTGTAGAGTAAAAAATGACTATTAGACAGTGTATGAAACTGAAATGCTTACACCTATATAATGTACATTTATATACAGAGTAGCTCTTACCTGACGTAAAGTACGTAAGCTTATTTTACGCTTTTTATCAAATCCAATAGGTTTACTTGGTAGAGGTGGTGTTTGACGAGGGGTAGACATTTCACAATCTGCTGACTGTGACTGTTTATTGATTGTTTCTAAGGGAGGGGAAAATAATTTTAAAGAAGACTTATTTGGATAAAACATTAAAACTAAACATAGTAATATTATCATATAATTTTAACGATTACTGAAATGAACAAAAAAATATACTGTAGCCGTTGGCATTATTCTCATGGTCAACCCTCCAATAGTATGTTGAGCTGTAGATATACAACGATAAAACAGTTTTACATTTAGTGTTGTTGCCTGTATTATCTCATCGTTGATTGAACTTAATTGATTGGTCCTTACTGGCATATAGGCCCCTGCGCCGATGCCTCGATATTGCTTGTGTTTTAATTATACATAGTAATGATGGATAGTGGAATCCAGCACGCGCGTTTCATCCTATTTAGGACTCGTCAGCTAGGTATGCCTGCCTTCCAGTGAGTGTTGTTCCCACCGGGAACAACACCGTTGTTCATGAATATCTGTAGTTTGTTCGAAATCCCCTTCATAACGCGCCAACTCTCTCAACCATCACATAGAAGCACTCACTTCACTGCATTAACGTTCAAAATCCGGATCTAGTCCACGCTTTATACTGAGTGCAGAAGATCTTCGCACTGGTTTCAGGTTAATGAACGCCTGTCTTGCTTTCGCGATCCTGACTTTGACGTCCTCGTCTATGCCTGTGCCGCCTGTAATTGAAACGATGCTGCCTGGTGAGGTAGGTGAAAGAGATTACTTCGCTTAGGTTTCTCCCGCTCATGGTGATTGGTGCCTCTCGTTGTTGATGCCGTAGTTGGTTGGGTATCTTCATCACCTCTGTCTTCTCTACATTCACTTGAAGTCCTGTTTTCACTGCCCTGTCTCTTCTGCCAACTTGTTAGTTTTCGCCTGTACATCTTCAAGTTTGTGCTACAAGACATTAGACATAAATCATCGTTGGCGAAATCCAAATCTTCTAGGTTCTTCTTCACGGTTAAACAGTGTATCCCCTTCTTCTCACAGCTCCTCACTGTTTGTTGCATGATCCAGTCCAGTCGACCACAATCAACAATATCATGGGTGATAGTAGACAGCCTTGTTTCACTCCTGTCTTCACTTCAAAGACATCATCACTGAGCTGACTTTCCCATCGTGAATTACTTGGCATGTGGCATCTTCATATAGTTGTTGAATGAGGCTGATAAAGGTTTGCGGTATTCCGTAGTGTTGAAGCAGTTGCCTGCCAAATTACTTCTCGGTCGACGCTGTCAAAGGCCTTTTTAAAGTCGATGAAGTTGAGATTGAGTTGAATTGACTGTCATTCTGTGCTGTGTTCTATGATGATGCGTAGTGTAGCGTTGCAATTTGATTCCCACATGGTTTCTTCTTCCTGAAGTCAGCCAACCATCGAGCCTGTTCCGGTCGTAATTTTGAATGCAGGGCATTTTTTAGTCTCTCCAGGATGATGCGGCATAGTATTTTGCTCGGGGTGGACATGAGCATGATTCCGCGCCAGTTTTTGCAAACACTTAGGTCGCCCTTCTTCGGGAGTTGAGTATGAGAATATGAATATTGAAAAGATTATAAATTACGTCATTTTGAAACAAGGTAAATGAACAACAGTTAAGAAGCTTGATAACAGTGTAAAACTAATGGAGACTAGCTAGAGTGATAGTTGAACGATAATAATGACAATAACAATACAGATAAGTTTACTCACGTCATTGAACATTTAGACTCAGTTTACGAATTCTAATCACAAATGCTTCCAGGATTGCAAGCATTTCCTTATTCCAGGGTCTGCTAACAAACGAGAAGGCCTTAGTGATGTCAACATCATGTCGATATTCCATTAGGTGTTCTGTAATCGAACTCCCTGGGATTTTTCATTCGGCTTGTGTTAACTATTTAGGTAAATGCTCAATCATGTGAGTAGTCCAACGCTTTTCTGTACGAACTAAGTATTTGCTTCCACAAGTACATTCGAAATGGTATATACAGTTAAATATGTCGAGGATTAGAGTTATATCTTTTCTTGATTGCTACAACACCTATCTGGTGGTGTTCAGAAGTACTAGCTTAGCTGTATAATAAATTCTATTGATGGCTTTGTCTATTCTCTGCTTAACTACTTCTAAGACTGTCTTATTTAAAAGGCGATTTGATAAATACTGACATTTTTTGGAACCATAAGAACTGCTGTTTCTCATTGTCTACTTTTTGAATACTTATTAACGATGCCTTCAGGGTGGTCATTTTTTAGCTGGGAGATGGATATGGTTCAATGTTTTTATTTCATAAACAATGGTACTATCAAAACAAATTTTCTTTATTCTATTAAATAGGGTTCTCATTAAGTTCCTTTTATGCAGGATTCGAACAAAACTCTTAAAGTGGAGATATTGTTCAAACTTTCATGTATGTAGAGTAAAACATTGACCAGTTCTACTGAGGAGTTATGAATTAAATAATGTTTGTTTCTTGTTTTAAATTGCTATCGGGAAACAAATGTTTTCAATTATTATTATTATTATTATTATTATTATTATTATTATTATTATTATTATTATTATTATTATTATTATTATTGTCATGGTTATCCCTCGATGATTTTCATTGTTCATATTAAATGTCTTAACAAGCAAATATGTGATCATATCGTTCCAAGTATATGGCGCAAATACATTCGTCATACTTTTCAGATAAACTACGTCGTCTAATAACGTTATCCAACTTTATAAAAGGGACTAATTGTTAAAAATTATTATTATTATCTGTCCCTTGGGTTCCTAGTGCAACATACAGCTTCACTAACACATCTCCATTCCACTCTCTTCTCGACAATCTTCTCTTTCAACCTGGCGCCACGACTTCCCACAACCTCTCATTTCTTCCTCACACCATCTCTTCCATGTCACCCTCAACTCGGACGCCAAACTCGTCGTTTCCCATCTGGCTTCCACTCCAACACCTGGCATGGCACGTGATGTCCCCGAATGGTCTTCTCAGTCCATGCCCAGCCCAGTACAATCCATCTCCACTTCCTTCTACATATTTGTTGTTGTTACAAATAGCGAGGCATAATAGTTATTATGATGTCATGTCTTTGTGTGTGTGTGTGTATGTTTTACCCAACAGGAATTCTAAAACGATAGCACTTTCAAATGTTTGAAAATTCACGATTATGGTGTAAACCAAAGCTAACTGAGAGAAGAATATTTTTTCATGAGTTTTTTCTCTCAACTAATCTAACAGTTAAACACCATAGTTGGTTAATTTATCGAAGAAATTCACCATAGGAACAATAATAACCATATCAGTATTATCATTTTCATTATCTGAGATGGTCACAGCTTTGCAAACTTGTACTATTGACATTCAATAGTAATTAAAGGTGAAATGAAATTCTTTGGGTTTCTGGCCTGATGTTTTACCGACTAAGCTGCGAGACCCCGCTACGAACCACATTTTAATTCCACTTCAATTACTAAGGGTTTTAAATTTTGAGGGAGTTGTGGAGATTTGGAAATATTTCAAGTTGTTATTCACCGTAGACTGACATCAGTTGGAGGAAAAAGGAAACCTGGGAGCACTGGACAGCTGTTTCGTCCCACTTGCATAGGACTCCTCAGCAGTGCGCACCCACAACCCCACCAGCAGGGATCGAACCCGCGACCTTCGGGTTCCGCGGCCAGCGCGTTACCATTGAGCTAGCCACTGGGTCAGAATCCAATGCTCCATGTTTCCAACTTCTGTTAGCTCAAGATATATAGCGCAACCGCCACCCAATGTCAACGCTGAGTACCTGTCCTCATGGCCATCAGGCTTTGGAGCATTGGATTCTGACCCAGTGGCTAGCTCAATGGTAACGCGCTGGCCGCCGAACCTGAAGGTCGCGGGTCCGACCCCTGCTGGTGGGGTCATGGGTGCGCACTGCTGAGGAGTTCTATGCAAGTGGAACGAAACAGCTGTCCAGTGCTCCCAGGTTTCCTTTTTTCCTCCAACTGATGTCAGTCTACGATGAATAACAACTTGAAACTAAGGGTTTGCCTAACTACTACGTGAATACGTGATGCATTTACTATCGCTTAATCGTAAATCATACTGACTGCTTCAGTCAGGACTTATCATCTTAATTTAAATCTACTTGAATTGGAAAGGGGTAGGCATTATATTGAATATCAGTTTGACTATCTCTGAGATAGCTGCTGTTTAGTAGACTTGTATTATTGATACTCAGGTGATGATTGAAGGTGGAATGAAAATCTCGGCCATGGAAGGATTTCAACCAGCGATTAATCAGAGATATAAAACATACATATATATATGAGTTAAAGACGGTTTACATCCACTAACCTTGACTAGCTGTTGACAGTTTTGTATGCCATGAAAGAGTGGCATCTGCAAGTTCGTTTAAACTCTTATGAGCTTCTAATTCAATTGATCGTGGCCATAAAGAAGCAACATTTGAAGACTGTATTATACAAGTAGATTCTTTCACTAAATATGTATAAGCATTGTGTACAGAATTGACAAACATTTCTTTAGATATCCCACTATATGAATAAAACAATACAAAAGAGATGAGTTAAAAAAACAAGACAGAAGAAGAAAAGTTATATTAAGGATAAAAAAGGGCTTGTAAGCAGTGGAGTCCAGTCCATAAACCAGCAGAGGTTGACCGATAGCTGCTACCTTCACGTGGTGGTCGAGCTTGCATATCACAATGACCCAACGAGCTATGCTGGTGGAACGCTTGTTCCCTCGAGGTCCTACCATACCAGAAAGGTCTGTTGGGTAGTGGTTAGACGAAAAGCAGTTACCGTTATAGTGTAAATTGCTACACTATGATGGGGGTCTGAGGGCGAAGTCGTACTGCTGCTAGCTGGATGGGGTGTGACAGCAGTAAGGTGTTTCCCTTGGATGACCAGCAGTGCCAAGCTGATGCTGCCTTCTCAGTGGAAGGGGGGGTTAGAAAAGGTCGGCCCCAAAAATAACACACTCCACCACGCCCCACGGTCTGCCGGGCCGGCGGTGTTGGTTCACTTGTCGTTTCCTTTCGACCATCCGGCCCCAAAAATACAAAAATTCAAAATAATCATACTCAAAAGGCTGGGTGTGACAGGCCTCAAGCAGATGTCCGATGGGCTCTGCGGTCACACAAATCTCTTTCAGGTACCTTAAGAAGAAATAGCCTTCCACGGTGTGGGCAGCCGGGAAGTGTCAACCGCCCTCACAACTCTGTCAGCACCCAAGTTTCTTCTGACTGCTATCCTCCTCCTCCATCATTACCTTCTAATCTTCCTTCACGTCTCTTAATTAATGATGCTGCATCATCTTCAATTTCTCCTACCTCTGCAGCCTTCGACAACGATCTGAGTCCACAGAACAGCATCCCTGGTCTCCTTAAACCACGCTCCAAATTACATATTGGAGCCTTCAATGTCCGCACCCTCCGTCAAATTGGCCAACAGGCTTCGTTGGCAAAGACTCTAGCAACTCGAGCATGGATGTGTGCTGTGTTTGTGAGACACGCATACAGGACCCAAGTGTGGTTATTCACCTGACCTCTCCTGACCAATCTGGTGAATCTGCAAAATTCACCCTTCGAGTTTCTGGAGATTCGATAGCTAGCTCTCGTGGTCTTGCAGGTGTAGGTATAGCATTAAGCACCAGGGCAGAAAACTCACTACTAGACTGGATCCCAGTTGATAGTCGCCTCTGCGCTATGAGGCTGAACGGCACAGTGAGAACTAAAAGGAATAGTGAGACTCGCCGTTGTCTCTTTGTAATCTCTGCTTACGCACCCACTGACTGTAGTTCGGATGAAGTGAAGGACGAGTTCTACCATAAACTGTCTAACCTCCTCTCGAAAGCCAAACGTTCGGACGTAGTGGTTGTTGCAGGTGACCTCAACGCACAGGTGGGTAGACTGAGTGAGGCAGAAAGGCACTTAGGTGGCACTTTCGGAATCCCAGCTGAACGTACAGATAACGGTGATCGCCTATTACAACTATGCTCAGATAACCGCCTATTTTTAGCCAGCACAAATTTCAGACATAAAGAAAGGCACTGTCTGACCTGGCGTCCACCGAGCTCGACTCAGCGATGGACACAGATAGACCACATTGCTATTAGTCATCGCTGGAGAGGATCGGTGGAAGACTGCCGCTCCTTCTGGAGTACGTGTTTGGACAGCGATCATGCGTTGGTCCGAGCACGTATATGCCTGCGTCTCAATGGACGTAGAAAAAATTTGGCAACAAAACCACTACGAGTTCTGCTGGACAACGAAAACACCAAAGCCGTGTTCAGTGAGAAGTTGGCTAGGCAGTTATCGGAACAAAAGACTGTCACTCATCCAGAAGAAGCTTGGTGCCATCTTCAGTCTACTGTAAAAGCAGCACTGGAGACTGTAGCCGACTCCAAGATAATGGCTAAAAAGAGCCAGTGGATATCAGCAGCTTCTTCCAAACTAATGGATGCACGTGAATGCATCCCTGCAGGCTCTGAGTACAATGAAGAGCGAGCGCAACTTAAAAATAAACTGACGAAAAGTCTGCGCAACGATCGTGAACAGTGGTGGGCAGCAAAGGCTAAAGAGATGGAAAAGGCAGCGGCGATCGGTAACAGTAGACAGTTATTTAGACTTATTAAGGAGACTGGGGGGAAATGGTCAACAACAGTTAGTGAGGTTATAGCGGAGAAGGACGGATCGGCGATTCACTCGCAGGGAAGGCGACTGGGACGATGGGCAGAACACTTTGAGGAACAGTTTAACTGGCCTCCAGCCACCATTGCGCTGCCCGCTATCCAGTCGGACCCTGAATGGGACATAGAGACAGGTCCCCCAACACTAGAAGAAGTTGAGAAAGCGGTAGGTAGCCTGAAACGGGAAGGGCAGCAGGACCAGACGGACTACCTGCTGAGGTATACAAGAATGGTGGTAGAGTTCTCTTAGTCAGGCTAACGGAAGTGTTAGCCAGTATATGGGAATCAAATACGATCCCCTCCGACTGGTCTAAGTCACTCATCATCCCAGTCTTCAAGAAAGGCGAGAAGTCCTCTTGTGATAACCACAGAGGAATCAGCCTGACAAACATAGTGTCTAAGATCCTAAGTTCTATAATTCTCCGACGCCTGAGTGGAGCTCGGGAACAGCAAGCCCGAGAAAACCAGGCAGGCTTTAGACCTGGCCGTGGATGTATCGACCAAATATTCACACTGCGCCAGGTCCTGGAACATAGGCATGCTTACAGACGCCCGACAATAGCTGTATTTCTCGACCTGAAGGCGGCATTTGACTCCGTTGATCGAGAAGTCTTATGGCGTGCCTAGTAAGTACATCACCTTATTGAAAGCTCTCTACTCGAACACTTGTGGGCATGTTAGAGCCTATGGTGAGTTGTCCAGGGAGCTATACTCATCAAGTGGTGTCCGTCAAGGATGCCCACTATCCCCATTCTTATTTAATTTTATCATAGATATTCTTATGGAGGTTTCCCTCTCGTCACCTAATTACAAAGACGTTGACCGGATCACAGGTGAATTTTCCTTAGATCTAGAATATGCAGATGACATAGTCCTGTTAGGTGAAGACGCTGACAAGATGCAGAGTCTTCTGAACACTTTGAGTGGGAATTTGAGAATGTTTGGGATGCGATTTTCACCACCCAAATGCAAATTTTTGCTCCAGGACTGGTCTTCAGCGGTACCGCGGTTAACAATAGAGAGTGAAGTGGTTGAGTGTGTTGACCACTTCACTTACCTGGGAAGTAGGATCAACCCGGTGGGTTAGTTGCCGATGAGATTTCTGCACGGATACAAAAGGCTCGATTGGCTTTTGCCAATTTGCGCCACCTATGGCGCCGCCGTGATATTCGTTTGTCTATTAAGGGTCGCGTGTACTGCACAGCAGTCCGCTCTGTTCTACTGTATGGCTGTGAAACATGGCCATTGAAAGTGGAGGATACAAAAAGGCTTTAGGTGTTTGACCACCGTTGCCTTCGTAGTATAGGACGTATTCCGTGGTGTCACCATGTGAGTAATGCAGAAGTTAGGTGTAGAGTTTTAGGGAGAAGAGGTAAGTCAGTCGACGAGGTTGTGAACCTTCATCGACTGAGATGGTTGGGACACGTACTACGTATGCCTAGTCACCGATTGCCTCGTCACACAATGTTGGCTGAGGTGGGTTCAGGCTGGAAAAAGGCCCGAGGTGGCCAGACTAAAACATGGCACCAATGTATGAAGTCTCTGACTGTTGGTTTAAGCCATGTAGGACGATGCAGACTAGGTGGTTGGGGTCCACGGGACAAGAGGAACCAGTGGTTGGAGACCCTAGGTGATATGGCTCAGAACCGAAGTCAGTGGCGCAGATGTATACACACATTATCCTCATCTTAACAACGCTATACCGAATTTCATCATTTTGTCACTCCTTTTTTCATTCTTCTCGTACTTTATATTTCTTTTGACTGCATTCCCTTATCTTCATCCTTCACCTCACTACCTTTCTACTTGATGTACTGATATGAGGTGTGGCAACCCGGACCGTTACGCAGTAATGCCTGGTCCTATGTTGATATTGATTGATTGATCATTTCAGTAACCAACTTCATATGATCTAGTCCTAATGAAATTCAAGTAACCAGGTAGTGTATCAGAGATTTCAAACTACTGATGAGGTCATTTGTCCAAACCATGAATCTATTGGTGGTAACCCAGTTGAACACAGTTTACCCATAATCTACTTGAATAGTGATTATCTGGACTCAAGCTAACTAACTAAAGATAAGCTGCTGGAGTGTATTGACCAGAGTTGATCGACACCAGCGATTTTCCTAGATGAATACTATTAAAGCAGCATTTATATCTCACCCCCCCCCGACCCCCGTGTACTTGATTAACCTGCCGTCTTTGAACGTTTATGATGTTGGGTACAACGATTGCTGGTGGTTCTCACCACCAGTAAAACTAATCCTTTACACACCATCTGAAGTGTAAGGAACACAGTGAACATAGTCATATAGAAGAGAATATTATTTTGACTCACCCTAAAAGATTCATTGTCAAATTGAATTCTTCTGAACTGGCTAACCCATTCTTTAACCATAAACGATACAAATCTCCAATCTGAAATAGATGACGAATAAAATTTATTTCTGTACTAAAGCTTAGTGTGTATGTATAAATTACGAAACCAACCAGTTTAGCACTATCTAAAGGATAACATAGTGATCCAGCAGAGTAAACATACTTAAATAGTCTTATGAGCAAAGACTAAGAACTGGGGCCGTTACAAAACTTACCCCACCCCCAACCTTAAAAGAGGCTCTGATTTGAGTTTGACGAAGTCTGAATATTCCTCTTGACACGCTTTGCTGATGAACACCGTTAGGTGATAAATTAGGCTCTAACCATATCACACCAGATAATAATAACAATTATTATTATCATTATTATTATTATTTGACCATCTGAGATAGTCATAGTTTGCCAGATTAATGATGAAGATAAATTGAAAATTTGAATTAAGGCCGAGTTTGAACCAGCGACCACCGCGTTTCTGGCCCGATGCTCTACCAACTGGGCTATGAGGTCCAACTGCTAACCAGATTTTTATTTCACTTCAATCACAAGGTGAGGTTTTGCCCCACTACCATGTGAATACATGACGCGTTACTATCGCTTAATCGTATTCACACTGGCTTCTGCCTAGTCAGAACTTCTCATCCCAATCCAAATCTAACTGAATTAGAATGAGAGGGGTAGCATGAAATTGTTTATTATTTGACTGTCTGAGATAAAACCATACTACTCATACTTCACTGCCTCTTCAGTCAGATGGTGACATCTGATGAACGTTGTTAGCTAACTAACTGCTCATACTTACCACCACCTCTTCCTAGCAAAAATAATTAGTCCTAAATGGTGACTGAAGTTTAAATGAGAATCCAGGTCGTGCCAGGATTCGAACCGACGACTTATGAGTTACCGACTTGGTGCTCAAATTATAAGTTCACCTTCAAACATTGCCCAGGATGAATAAAACACGTTTAGCAAAACCAAGTCAATTTCAGATACTGGGTGATATTTGAAGGTGAATTTGAAATGTGGATCGTGGCCGGATTCGAACCAGCGATCACCAAGTTACCGGCTTGATGCTCTAACCCCACCTTGTGATTGAAGCGAAATAAAAATTTGATGAGCAGTTGGACCTCGTAGCTCAGTTGGTAGAGCATCAGGCCGGGAATTCAGTGGCCGCTGGTTCGAATCCCGCCGCGGTTCAAATCTTCATTTTACCTCCAATCATCACCTAGCATAAATCATAATAATAATAGTAATAATAATAATGGGAAGATGAAATGTCAGTAAGAAGAAACACGAATAAAAAGGGATGTGTTGCTGTAAAGTAGTGGAACTGAGAGGACCAAACAAGAATAATTGACGATTGAGAGTTGAGACGATTCAACCCGAGTGATTCTCAGAGTGAAATCAAAAAACTGACATTCAATTGAGTTCATAATATCACGAACTGAAGACTTTTTTATCAGTGAAAAACGACGCTAAATATACAGAAATCGCAATGACCCTGAAAGACAAAGGATGACAGATCGATTGAAAGAATCAAGAGCCAATGAAGTGGTTTATATGAAATATAAACTGTGGAAAAAAAGAGGGAGAACAAAAACAGTTCAGATGTACAAATGGTAAGGATATAGGCATCGTTAACAGCTATAATGATTATGATATCACCGGAATTGTTTGTTAGACATCCCTCACAACTTGATTATGCCATAACTTTATGCCTCACTGCCAGAATCATACTTGCCAAGAAGACTTTTGGGAAACACAAACAAGTAAAAGAAATCTTCAAGTAAATCTATACACTTTTAATTACAGATCACCCATAACTTTTTTGACGTGCTGCTTTTGAATTTCTTTCATTTTGGCTACGATAGGAGTGTGTGGTGAAGTTAACATGTTAAAAGCTAAGTGTTAATCAGTAAGGATCCCTGCACACCCTAAGTTTCGAAGTTCTTGGCAATCGTCAGGAAGGTGTATCTGTATCCAATCGATAGCTGCTACCTTGACGCGGAAATGGGGCTTGTATACCACAATTACTCGAGTTATACTGGTTGCAACACTTGTTTCTTCGAGGTCCTACCATACGAGGAAAGGTTTGTTGGATAGTGATCAAACGAATAGCAGTTACCGTTGTAGTGTAAATTATCACACTATGATAACGGTCTCAGGGAGAAGTCGGATTGTTGACTGGATGAAGTGTGACAGCAGTAAGGTGTTTCCTCGGGTGACGAAAAGTCCCAGACTGATACTATCTTCCTTGTAGGAAGGGGAGGTTAGAAATGCTCGATCCTAGATATAGCACACGCATCACTAGCCTACAGTTTTCCGGCGCGGGAGGTTTGTGTTTTTCCGATCCAGCGCTAGAAAAATCAAATCTCATACCAACAATCCGCATGAGAGCACCAAGCAGATGTTGCATGGGCTCCACGGTGACACAAGTCTTTCTCTTTCAGGTACCTTAAGAAGAAATAGCCTTCCACGGTGTGGGTAGCCGGAAAGTGTCAACCGCACACAATACCCACAATCCGACAATCACTTTTTCTGACCAGTACCAACTTTCAGCATAAGGAGAGACTCTGTCTCACATGGTGTCCACCGACATCAAACCAATGATGAACACAGATAGGTCAAATTGCTATAGGCCATCGATGGAGAGGATCGGTGGAGGACTGCGACTCTTTCTGCAGTACCTGCTTGGACTCCGATCACGCGTTAGTGCGGGCTCGTGCATATCTGTGCTTTATTGGCTGCAGGAAACAAGCGATAATAGAGCCTGTCTATTCTTGATCGGAAGGTGAGAACGTCAACTATGCATTTAGGGGGGAGATAGCTAAGAATTTATCGGAACGTGTGACAGCAATGTTCATCTTGAAGAAACCTGACGTAATATTAAATCTGCTGTAGAACCAGTAATAAAGACAGTTGGCAACCTACACCCAAAGATTAGTAAACGTCATTGGATTTCCGCGATGTCACCTGAAATGGCTGATCCAAGAAGACTGATTCCAGCTGGCTCTGACCCCTATGAAAGTGAAAGCAACTCTAAGAGTGTTTGTATTGGTCATGAAAAGTGGTGGATAAAGAAAGCAAGAGAAAGGAAGAAGATATCAGCGAAAGGATGACACGCAGCAAATATTTAGGCCTATTAAGGACATCGACAAGAAGAAGACGATAGTTTATGAAACCATCACCGAAAAGGATGGCAGCATGATAACCTACCATGACAGACGGCTAAGACGTTGGACGGAACACTTTGAAGGCTAGTTAGAACGGCGCACAGTAACGCTTCAGTTGCTCAGTATCCTGAATGAACCTAAATAGAACGTAGATATCGGTCCTCCGACTCTCATCATACTATAAGGTGGGATAGAGTAACAGTTCTACCATCCAACATAACTAGATAGAGGGAGAGATTGATCATAAAATTTTTGTTCATTGAATCAACACATAACACATGTAACAGGAATGATTCATCACATATTGCAGATAGTCACGGATTGCACATAGGAAATTTAGTCGTATGGTTATTTTGATATAAATATGAGTAGTAAATTGTGCTTAAAACGTCAAAATAGCGAAACCGCGAAATAGAATGGATTGATGACATTCTGGTTAAGCTGTTATTCTTGCTCTATTCGAAATTTCAGCGTCTAGAGAGCATTAAACCACTGAGATCATATTATCACTACATAACAGGGTAAATATCAATTTGATAGTAATGATAGATAGTGGCTAGCAGTAAATTGCAGGATGCGCATTTTGTCGTACTTGGAACTCATCACCTGAATGTACCTACCTCTAAGTGAGTTACATTGACCTCACTGAGACTCGCACTAAACACTCATCACTTCAAAGACAAGGACTATTGAGTCATGATAGACACTACTTGTCTGATGAGTATAATCTATAGTTACCCGTAACTAATTATATATATCCAGATGCCCGATATTGCCGGTAGTTTTAGTTTTCTATTTGACAATAGACAATGGGTTAACAGAGGAAGCTAAGGAGTGGATTTTGTCCTATACGGTAGTCCTCAGCTGATACTTACACACACAAAATGTGTCGAAAGCCTATTCACCATTGATCAATTAAACATTAAACTTAAGTAGATAGTTAATAAAAAGGTTTATGAACTTTTAATAGAAGCTTCATATAAAGTTAAATCGATACAATTCTCTCATCAAATCTCTAAAACTACGTACACTAAAGAAATAGTCAATAAATAACTCCCATTATGACATGAATTTTCAATGATACTTAAAGATTATAATCCATGAGGAAGATTTAACTTATATAATGAGAGGTGGAAATAACAATAGCCGTGGTTATAATTACAATAATGCTGCTAGTTGATGACATAAAGTCTGAATGATAACTGAAAAGGGCCAGGTAAGATTTTTGAGTCGTTTATAAGGTGAATACAGACTACAGAAGGGGGTGAAGATGCGATATGTAGTTAATAGTTGTTATTCACCATAGACTGACATCAGTTGAAGGAACAAAGGAAACCTGGCAGCACTGGACAGCTGCTTCGTCCCACTTGTATGGGACTTTTCAGCAGCGCGCACCCACGACCCCACCAGTGATCGAACCCGCGACCTTTAGGTTCCGCGGCCAGCGCGTTACCATTGAGCCACTGGGTCAGAATCCAATGCTCCATATTTCCAACTTCTGTTAGCTCACGATATATAGCGCAACCGCCACCCAATGTCATCGTTGAGTAACTAGGACGAAACAGCTGTCCAGTGCTCTCAGGTTTCCTTTGTTCCTTCAACTAATGTCAGTCTAAGATGAATAACAACTTGAAATATTTCCAAATCTCCACAACTCCTTCAAAAATTAAATTGAACTGGGTGCTCATTGGTGACTAGCTTCGAGAAGTATTCCCGAAGTTCCAATGACAAGTCGTGACCGGTGGAGTCAAAGCCTGATGGTCGTGAGGACAGTCACTCAACGATGACATTGGGTGGCGGTTGCGCTATATCGTGAGCTAACAGAAGTTGGAAATATGGAGCATTGGATTGTGACCCAGTGGCTTAGTGGTAACGTGCTGTCCACGGAACCCGAAGGTCGCGGGTTCGATCCCTGCTGGTGGGGTCATGGGTGCGCACTGCTGAGCAGTCCTATGCAAGTGGGACGAAACAGCTGTCCAGTGCTGCCAGGTTTCCTTTGTTCCTTCAACTAATGTCAGTCTTCGACGAATAACAACTTGAAATATTTCCAAATCTCCACAACCCCCTCAAAATATAGTTAATAAGCAATCAAAGGACTAGGTAATGTAAATAAGGTAACAGATTAATTGGAATAAGCTGGAAATGTTTTGTTAAAAGTTGAGATTATTAGAAAGATCAAATGAAATAACAACTAAATACGAACAACAGAGTACAAAATGGCTACGAAAGCAGCTGGATTCACAACATTGATAAGCACAGATTGCAGGCAGGCAGGCAGGCAACCATCATCCGCATCCATTGCAAAACATATCACTGATAAGAGTCACAGGATTGATATTAAAACAGCCTTTACAATTTTGTACAGAAACTGTCAGAGGTGTAAACTTAAGTTTGTTGAGGGGCTAGCCATAAATAAATTTAACCGAGCATTGTGTGTGTGTGCGAAAATAGTTTGTCTTTACATTATGCCTACCTTAATAATGCTTATTTTGGATAATGTAACTAGAAGACGTAGATTATCTGAAAAATGTGATGTATTAGCGCTATACATTTCGAACAATCTGATCACACGTTTACTTGTTACGGCATTATATATGAAAACTGGGAACTGAAAACTGGAAAACTGTAGTACCAGGATTGTCCTCATGTTTTATCTTTTATTCCTCTCATTATCTTTCTTATCACTGAATTCCTTTATGTGATATTTGTCCTTCCCCCACTTTCAGTTTTCATATATTTAATGCCTTAACAAATAAATGTGTGATCAGATTGTTCGAAATGTATAGCTGTAATACATCACATTTTTCAGATAATCTACGTCTTCTAATTACATTATCCAAATTCATAAAAGGGACCAATTGTTTCAAAAGATTAATCTGACAACAAAAAAGTGGGGTTGAATAAAAGAAAAAGGGACGAGGCACACCAAGACCAAGATAAGTTAAGGCCAAGGTAGAGACAAAGACTGTACATACTTGTTTTGCACACAAAGGTCAGGCTTCAGTTCATTGATAGCCAAGGTCTTTGATGTTTTTAGAAGCCGAACACACATGTGTGATGTGTTTAAGCGAATTCGATAGACAACCTTAAAATCATTGTTTGAGTTGGTTGAGTGCTTGGAATCGATTAAATGTTCAAGGATAGAACTTGTGATACATTTCGTTTCACTCTTATAAAACCAGGCAGGAATGTTCTCGTGTACGTGTTGACAGCAGTCTTTAATAATAATAATGAAATTGATAAAAGTGATAACTAAATTTTGAGGGGGTTGTGGAGATTTGGAAATATTTCAAGTTGTTATTCATCGAAGACTGACATCAGTTGGATTCTGACCCAGTGGCTCAATGGTAACGCGCTGGTCGCGGAACCCGAAGGTCGCGGGTTCGATCCCTGCTGGTGGGGTCGTGGGTGCGCACTGCTGAGGAGTCCCATACTAGGACGAAACAGCTGTCCAGTGCTCCCAGGTTTCCTTTGTTCCTCCAACTGATGTCAGTCTTCGATGAATAACAACTTGAAAAGTGATAACGTTGACTAAAGGATATGCAATGCAGATGATGACGATGATAAGAACCTAGAAAGCAGCATGAAAATGTAGACACTTCAATGATCAAAATAGGTCAAAAGCGTGTGAAAATAAAAGTTACGTAATAGTGAAGGGTGAGGTAAGTGGATAAACGAAGCCTAGACAAATACAGTAAGTGTACGAAATGGGTGAAGAATCAGAAAAGGGATAGGAGAAAATAATAATAATGAAAACTGAGTGATAAAGTTGTTAGCTAAGTAATCACTGGCCAAGGGATGTACAAACTTCTTTTGAATACAAAGGCTAGGATTATTAGCTCGAATTCCCACAGCTTCTGTTATGTGTAAAACACGAGTTTGAATACCTTTTGAAAGATGAGATGGTATGCGATGTATAACCGTGAAAGCATTTTCCTTATCTACCAAGTGACATAAAACTGAGTTTCTGATGGATTTTATCTGTCCCTTTCCCAACCATGAAGGTAGATGCTCAGCAACACGTTTGTTAAGTTGTCTAGTAGTACGCCCTATATAGCTTTCTGCACAGGAGCAGCTAAACTTGTACAAGTTTGTACATCCCTTATCTCTCCCTTTGCTAGAGATTACTTAGTTAATAACTTTATCACTCAGTTTTCATTATTATTATTATTATTATTTTCTCCTACCCCTTTTCTGATTCTTCACCCATTTCGTACACTTACTGTATTTGTCTAGGCTTTGTTTATCCACTTACCTCACCCTTCACTATTACGTAACTTTTATTTTCACACGCTTTCGACCTATTTTGATCATTGAAGTGTCTACATTTTCATGCTGCTTTCTAGGTTCTTATCATCGTCATCATCTGCATTGCATGTTCTTTAGTCAACGTTATCACTTTTATCAATTTCATTATTATTATTATTATTATTATTATTATTATTATTATCTCCATCGTTATATGAAACATTTATCACATCAATCGACAAATCTACATGATTGGTTTAATTTTATGCATATATATTAAGCTATTTGTATAAGAGTTAAGCCTGAAGAGGATCTAACTGGAAACAATATTGTTCGCTTATATATCTTGTACTAATTTACATGATGAGAACATGAATAGTTGAAAATGAAAATAACAGACAATGAAGTATAAATGTAAAGCATATCAACTTACATTTTTTCCCAATGGTCGAACAGATACTGGTGTTATAATAGCCAATAACCAATTCAATAAATGTGGAATAAGATATTGTAAGTGTAAATGTGAATTTAAATATTGCATAATCTTACTGACAAGTTTGCTGTTAGAAGTGTTCAATTTACGTTCACATGAACGTGGAGACAGATTAGGTGATGATGATGATGATGGATCAGCAGTACCAATAGAACTTGTCCTTGTCTTCATTGTATTCAGATGACAATCAGCCAATGAAGGATAATCGATACATACAATTTGAGTCAATTCTCGATAAGTCAATGAAGTAAGATATGTATGCATCGATTCATATGGGAGTAACAGTTCAGGATGTGGTGTTTTCAAATAATGTTCTAACATGCAAAACTGTAGAAGAGAAACAAAAGATAAAATGAATAACTGATAATGTGTATTAGTGTGTATTGTTGATCGATTGCTTGCTACAGCGATCCAACAAGGGCATAATAGACAAACACATTGTAAGGTAATCTTGTTGATTGACTATAAATGTTTTAGTGAGATAGTCGATAGACAGTTTACGAACTAAGCACTTCATTAAGAGGTACATAGACAACATCTTTATTAAAAGCTTCATCAGCATTATATCGAGTAGTTCTTAGAATAAACGACTTCAATTAGTACTGAAGAGAAAAGACAAGCGAACAACCCAATTTACTATCCACACAGTAAAAAGTGGAAAACATGTAGCGGTTGCAAAGTTTTGATCACAGATGTCTTCGTAGCATTGGTTGTGTATGGTGAAATCATTGTATGAGCAGTGTTGAGGTCAGCTGAAGGGTAGTTAGGTAAAACAAGCAAGTCAGTCAATGAGAAAATGAACTAGTAGTGACTGGGGTGGCGTGGACATGTGCTGCGCACACCAAGCCACCATCTACCTCGGTGTTCCATGCTGGATGGATCTGGATTAGGTTATAATAGGGTTCAGTATGGCCAAACGAATACCTGGCATTAGTGGATAAAGTCTCTTGCTATCGGTCTGAATCGTGTGGAGATGTAGATTGCCTGGTTGGGGTCCTCAAGGAGATAGGAATCAGTGGCTGAGAACTCTTGGTGATATAGTTGAAAATTGGTCATCATAGACCAGATGCATTCATTTCTTGACACCTAAAGTCTGAATATTGGCACTAAACTCTATCTTCAGACTGTTTATTCTCTCACACTACTCTATCTTCTTTGACATCACTCCCGTTCTATCCATTTGTTCTTTGTGAACTACTGTGAAGTGTGGCATCTTGAGCCAATACATCTATGTGAGAAGTTCTACGTCGACCTTGTCAGTCACTCACTAAAATCCCTGAACAAACAATTGGACACTGGATATTTTCAAATCTAAAATACAGCATGAGGTAACTAGAAGTTTCAATGATGAGTGTTATCGAAGTACATATGACCAAGAAGGTGCCCTGCCGATCGACTTCATCTAATCAACAAACATACAAGTTTATGACAACTAACTGCAAATTATCACAATCAAAGTATGAGTGGGTAATGCGATAAACAATATGCAGGAGGATGACATCATGATAAATTCTCAGACTATTATGCAATATCATTTGTTTTTTCACGGATTACACGGAGTGGTCACCGGATGATAACAGATTTATTGATCTAATCCGTAGTGATTAGTATTGATAAAAGTCTACCGACCAATTTTTCAACATGATCGCCATGTGTTATGACACTGTGGTGTACTGTATTTTAGTGTTACATGTTACGAGGACTGAAAACTAGACAGATACATCAGTTACCTATTGATGATAAGATCGTGTATATAGTCCAATCTTAAAGGGAGTCAGTCATGACCTGAATAGCTTAATGGTCAATTTTCTGACTCCATTTTGGGAGGGGGGGGGGCATTAATTTCCTTATGGTTGCAGACGTGCCACATTGATGGATGCCTGGCGTTACAACAAGTGTTTACTTTAACATGAAAACACTGTCAGTGGTAAATGTGTTTGTATGCACATAAACATCACAGAGTTATCGTTAGTGATATGAGGAAAAATCCGGACGGAAATCTTCCACCCATCATCGAAGTTTCACCAATGAACTTCAGACACTGATCACATTCACTTTTATATGCTAAATGATGTTGAAGCTGGATTCCCTTAATGAGTTGTATTAACTTAAACCAAGTGCTGACTTTCTTATGCGCCTCAAAGTAGGTCGGCATTTCAGCCTGTTTATACATCTTGTCTCAAATCTTGTAGTTTACTTGGTGGTGGCTAGAAGTGGAATCCAAGACGTGGGTTTCGCCCCCATTTGGGACTCATCAGCCGCACTTCGTAAGTGATGTTGTTCTCCCAGACACTCCCATATCCATCGCTGAAAACATCAAAGCGTTACTCACAAGTTCACTGATACACGAGACTCACCTAATGTGCAACAGATGTTAGCTGTTATTTATTGACATTTGTAATTTCTAATCAATATACTGCATCGGATTGGTCAACCTCTGTGGGCGACTAAAGAGATGGATACTAGATTAGAATCTCAGTGAGAACACTATCATTCACTGTGTCGAGGATAAACACAGCTGACGAGCCCGAAGCGGGACGAAACGAACATCTTGGGTCCCACTGCCAACTACCACTAAGTACATTACAACATCATAAATATTCAGGCAGTAACTAAGCAACCAGATAGAAGCCCACCTGCCTACAGAGGTTAAGCAAGTCAATCCAGTGTATGAACAGGAAATTACAAGCATCAATAAGTAATCCAATCTTTCGCTAATCAAATATTACTAGACACAACCTTTGTCACATTTCTTGAATACAGTAAATATAACTGTATGCTAAATATTATCACAAAAGACATTATAGTGTATAACTGGATTATATGTAGGGGATTGATAATGGAGAGTGATATCGTAACCATGAAAGCGACATATATTTTAGTCAATCATTATATGAAACATAACAGGAATGTATCAGATTAAAGGTGAGTATGAAACTTACTTTTAAACGCTGCAAGAAATTCTTTACAGAATAATCTAAACACAGAAATATTCCATCAATCAAATAACTTAGAACGGAATAAGTAGGATGTACACCAGGAAATTGTATAATCTAAGTGAAAAGGAGAAGAACAAGAGGATTAAGAAAGAACTTGCATATATCTATCAAAGGTGTGCTGATAACCTTGAAGGAAAAACGACAATAAGATAATCAACCGATGAGTAATAGTTTTGAACATAAACGTTATAAATATTCATATACATCCAATTACTAGACTTTCTTGTGAAGCTTTGACCCACTGATAACGATGTCGAGCATAATACAGAAACGTTTACCAGCACCAACCTGTTACGATATAGAATTGCGAGAACGAACGAAAGTATTTAACGATTAATAGCCAGGGTTGAGACAATTGAACCCCAGTGATTCACAAAGGGAAATCGAATGAGATTGAAAACGTTTATCGATGAAAACGGTCCCTATTTATAGAGTTTAAAGTAACCTTGAAAGGCAAGGAATAATTAATACATTTAAAGAGGCAGGAGCCAATCAGAACGCTAGTGAGTCATATGAAATATGATTTCTGAGCAGGAAAACAGCGCAAAGTAAAACACTTCAAATATACCCAAACGATAAATATAGAATATTAAGGATATGGGGATCCCTAACACAACCCCAAGTCAGAGAACGCTCCAATTTAAACATCCAACATTTCTAGCCATATACTAAGTAGTAGGATAACCTCTTAGAATGCAAAACATACACAGAATCAGCGACTACCAGGTTTCCGGCACGATGCTTGACTAACTGAGCTACGAGGTCCAACTGTTAACCAGATTTTTATTTCACTTCAATCACAAGGTGAGGTTTTGCCCCACTACCATGTGAATACATGACGCATTACTATCGCTTAATTGTATTCACACTGGCTTCTGCCTAGTCAGAACTTCTCATCCCAATCCAAATCTAACTGAATTAGAATGAGAGGGGGAGATCATATTATCATTCTGACTATTTGAGATACCCGTGGTTTGTTAGACTAGTATTTATACTGCGTGATGATTGAAAGTTAAATGAAAATTTAGAATGCGGCTAGAGAATCGTTAAAACTTCATTTTAAAAAGTAAATTGTTAGACATGAAAATCCTGTTTTACTTCGATCAAACCACTTTGACCTACTTTTTTTTTTCACTTCTTTCCCCAGTGATTGTCATTTAGTACGGTTTAAGCATCATTACATATATGGTAAAAAGTTGTTTATTCACTTACACAACTTTGCCTACTTTGATATGAGTCTTTTTCTATCCACCTATTCTCTGTGTACTACTGTGAAGTATGGCAACTAGAAAGGATGTACTTGGATATGAGGTTCAACATTGATTTTATCTCAGCTTTGCTTAATTATTATTGTAGTTAGTGCAACCCAGCAACCCAGTACACCCATTTATATACGAAGCTATAAACCGCACTAGTAATCAGGACAGACAATACAGCTTGTACGCCGAAGTAGGTGGAATGGAGTTTACAACTTATGCCAAAAAGGCATATTTCTATACTCGTTTAAATATCACACAACATAAGCGAAAGTCATGAAAACCCACACCCATCTGATAAACAAATGGAAACAAAATTCCAATCTGTCTACGAGGTTGTTATTACATGGATCATCAGGGCTATAGCCAGATGACTACTCAACTGATACTTCATTACTAACTTATGCTTAGATTTCGAATGAACCAATTACAAGATAAATGGAAGCGAAAACAACAACATTCCAAAGGAACATGATGAGATCTGTTTGATATTGTACAGTACGAATAAACCCCACTCATCCATCATGCCTAAAAGAATGCTTGAAGCTATCCCTAGTGAACAGAAGAGTGGTAAAATATTTTCTTACAAAAATACAAGAAAAAGTTGGTTGGTGTGACCGTTTTTAGACAGAAAACTATATTCCATTGATGCACTACATGATACTTCTATAATCGCCATTACCACAACTCTAATAGGATACACATCAGCTTCATAGGGATACTGGTGTTTTCTGACAACACAGTCTGGTATAAATCAGTGTTATCATAATTAACCGGAAAAACAACTAAAAAAAATATAGTTAAAACGATGAACTATAAAATTAGAAACAATAGTGGATTTAAACTACTGACTCTTGTTTAAAGGTATGTCGTCCAAGGTCTCCAACAAACAATTTTTTCAACCCTGAAGGATATATGAACAAATGAACGATACCGATAACTTGATCTGGCTACTTAGGGATTTCACATTCTACTTATACACTGGAAAATGTAGCACATAGTCTACACATTCCTTATCGAGTTCTGTGCAACTAGGTAAAGCTATTAGTCGTTACGCAGAAAACGTAATTAGAGGCCTACGGAGTAAATAAAGGAGAAACGAATTGTTTAGCTTCATCGATTAACTTCGTCTGGACATGTGTTGCGCTTGCTCAACCACCAACTACCTCAACGTACAATATTAGACGAAGTAGGACTGGGTTGGAAGAAAGCGAAAGTGGTCACATCAATCCATGAAGTCTATTACTTACTGGTCTAAACCGTATAGGAAGGTGTATATTAACTGGAGTCCACGAGACAATAGGAGTCAATGGTTGGAGACGGTTAGTGGTATAGGTGAAAACTAGTCACAATGGCGAAGATGTGATACACCCTTTGCCATCTTCAAAGTCCTGAACATTTTGTTAACCTTGGTCTACTTATTTATAGCGTATCCAGCCCCCCCCCCCCACACCTCATACACATGTCTACTTTAATGTCACTTTTTCTACACACTTCTTCCTTGCATGTTGCTGAGAAGTGTGGCAAGTTGAAGTGATATGTTTCTGTGCTAGGTTCTACGTTGGCTATCTCTTCAGAACACCATCCAATAGATAATTTTGTCACTGTGTGAAACATTTAATAAGGTAACTGAAATACCTATGAGATGAATTGGCTCAGAGTTACTGAAATAAGTTTTATATACTATGAGAAGAAACATCCATGTTCAATTAAGAGACCGAGATAGAAACAACATACCATCTGTCCAATTAGCCGTTTGACCTATTCAATTTATCAGCCTAAATGAACCTGAGTAAGTACACAGCAGATGAACGTATCCATACAAGAAAAAACTATGAGGATGATATTGAAATCACCCTAGTCTAGTTCTTTAGGATGACTGAGTTGGGTGAGTGATCATAAAAAGTATTCCCTATTGATCTCTCGATGCCATCATCCAGAGCTACTTGCCAAGTAGTTTAATAATTACAGGATTTGTAGAAGATCCAGAAAAGAATTAAACAACTAGACGATTCCAAATTCAAATGAAGTTTATGCAATAAATCCGTGAAGACTTCATCGACGAACAAACACACACAAGAAATTGTAGCTCTGAATACAAGAGAACAAAGTGAAGTCAGCGGACTTACCTCTTTCATTACAACTTCTAAGAATGCGGAGGGTGGAGGAACTGTGAAGCGTCGAATTGTCAATCGACTTAGTGTGGATGCATTAATACGTGATTCGAATACAGTTTCAGGAGTTGTCGATAAACCGAAAACAAAACTTATTGGCAAGGCATAAGAACGACCTCTGATCTGACCAGCCGCATAAAGAGACGTCAATTCGATAAAGTCGCATAAAACCTGAACTGGAATTGATTCAATTTCGGTAAGTATAATGACCAGAGGTCTAAGTGATAACTTTTGTTTTGGATCTGAAAACTTTTCCAACTCTAAAGATGTTGATACACTGTCGACAAGTCCACTTTTTACAGTGTTTTCAGTACTGTCTGCATTAGATCGTAGACTGAATCTATGACTTCTCCTTGATGTGGTAGATCTAGGTGAAGTTGATGTACTTGGATGAGGTCGGTGTTTATAAGACCCCGCCTGACTGATACTGCGTTGGAATCCACAGGAGATGTAGTAAGTGGTGCTATAAAACGCGAAGGGAATTTTATTAACGAGATAGTTAACAGACTATTGTGAATCTGTATAGCGAAAGCTAGCAGAGTTTCAACCTACCTGGTGTTTTAAATTCTCCTGAGGGTTCAAACAAGCCAGAACAGTTTTGTGTCTACAAAATAATGTTAAGCAACTATAACACATTCATCAAAATTAGAAAATAATATTCTTCATTATACTGAAAATGTCAATATGGATAATGTATCTCAATTAACTATGAATTTAAAGCAGAATTATTTCCCTTTCATCCATCAATAGACAATATCTACAACATTGTCCCAAAGATTTGAAATTGTGATGAGACGTTTAATTCATATGCCACAAAAGAGCTATACTTCATTACATGAAATGGTAAATAAAATATAGTATATACAGAAATAAGGAAGGAATAATGTGTAGTTACTGAACTGCTTTTCATTTTTTTTTATCAGGTATATGTCTCTTCTTAGATACTCAACATAAACTTGGTACAGTATGGGTAGAAAGAAATGTGCCATTATAGATGAAGGATTAATGGGAAGGTACAATTATGGATGTTTATAAGTCATGGTCACTAATCTCTCTATCTTCTCCTTGTCACGAGGACTAAACTCACTCAAGTTATACAAGTCATTGGTCTTAGCTATCTATGTGAATCATAGCCTAGGATACATGGCTTCTGAGTTGCATTACTTTTGAATGAAAATATCTTAAACTTTACTGTTGATATGGTATGAACAAACATATTTGCCTTGATACGATACGATAACACTGTGCAAATTTATATACTAGATTAACACATGTAAATTGTGTGCAAACTAATGATAAAAATCTAGACCAAAGTGGAATGGGTTTGAATTCATGCTTAATGATTGATAGCTAGGCTGCTGAATTGACGACAATTGAACTGATAATACTATATTTTCACCAGACAGCATCATTCTAACGTTTACTTTCAAGTAAAACCCACAATTAAAAATAAAATTACACGAAATAATAATAGGTATGATACTAAGAATTTAGCTAATACACTTTCAGATCGTGAAGTTCTATGAGCCAATATCTGTTCAACAACTCATCAAGGAGAAAGACACTTAAAATACCTCAAAAGAAAATAATAATTAAGAATTCTAAACAATTTACCCTTGAATAGTACCACTCCATTAAAGCCAAATAGAGAAGCAGGTAGCTGGAGTGAAATTTTTCTGTAAACAGACAGTTAAAAAGAACCACTTGTTAGAATGATGAGAAATTTACTGAATTCTGTGCTTATTATAATCAGTAAAAAAAATCATTTTAAGGGTAATCACGTTGGTATTAGTTTCACTGATGGACTTTCGATTACGACCAATTATGTTCAGATTAAACAGCACAATATCTGATACGAATTCATCACCTTTTACTGTTGGTGCAAACACTACAAGAATACACATAAATAAAAGGAGAAAAAAGTGAAAACAGATTAGATATGCATAATATATTCCTAAAAACCAGATCTTCACCGACCGTAGGTTGTAGGATACAAACATACTAACCAGTGCCTAACACTAGATGTATTTCTTGACCTGAAAGTGGGACTCGAATTCATCAACTGATACATCTTATGAAAATGTCTTTCGTTTAAGAGGGTTACCTGGGAACTAAACCAACTTACAGAAATTATTGTGCTCGAAAAATGGTGATTGTGTTGGAGGCCACAATAAGCTATATGAAACACACAGCTACCTTGTGCACATCCGTACAGTAGGCAATGAGGCACACCTATTATGTGAAGGCTAATGATACTATCTACTCAAACTCGTGACCCAATGGGTGATAGTCATTTCTCTAAACCACTGAGGCATAGCTCCAGGAAATCAGTGAGACGTCAGGCCAAAGTCTTCTAACTGAACTATTACAAACCCGCTAGTGGATGTTATACTTTCTTCTGGAGTAAGCTAACGACAGTCTTGTTAGGTGGATGTGGCAATAAGATGAGCAGCTTTTTAGGTAATAGTTTTGATTAATGTTTGGGTTATACTGCTCATTTCCAAAATGCTAGTCGGTGCTTGAGAACTGAAATTTGTCAATGTCTCGGCTAACAATATGAAGTGAAGTAGTTGAAACTGTCGCTCACTGCGGGGACAAGTCGGATCAGCCATGGTGGGTTAGTGATAAATGAAAATGCAAGCAGGATAGACAAAGGTCGATTTGCTTCCCACATTGAGATAGATGAATGCTCACTAATAAAAGAATGTAAAGCTTAGCAGTCTGATCTTCTGTATTATAAGGTCGTAAAACAATATAAAAGTCGAGAACAAGAAGTTTCCGGAATTCAAGCACTATTTTCTATGCGTCGTTGTGTAGGCGGTGTGACGACCATGTAAACAACGCAGAGGTTCTACATAAACTTCTAGGCAAATGGGGCATATCAATTGAGGAGGCTGTAAGCCTTCACCAACTAAGGTAGCCTGCGCACATGCCACATATTACCGACACCAACCAAGTCAAAATGTGGTTTTAGCCAAAGTACAATTGACCAAAGAAAGTTGAGGGTAGCTAGGCTACAATACGACACCAATTCATGAAGTCTGGCTGGTGGTCTTAGCCATGTAGAGAGGTATAGGCTATTTAATTGGGGTCATCGAGGCAATAGGAATCAATGGCGTAAGCCAAAATCGACCATAACCGCGTGGATACAGCCTTTGTAATCTCGAAAACACTGAACTCTGACACTATCTTTCATTTATTTGTTTTTTTCACTCCTGAAACATATTTGTTCACTTCGACGTTATTCTTTTTCTACCCAGTTTTTTGCATCATGATGTAAAGTAATGCCAATTGGAATTGCGTTAGGTTCTACGTTATTTTTTTGTTTGAGGGAGGATTTCAAAATCTTTTTCGATATGAACTTGGAAATGTCCGGTAAACCACAGATTTCTTCGTGCATAACAAAAATTCACGAGGATATTTTTCACAGAAGCTCAATTGATCCCTATTTAGCACCAAACATCCTGTTGCGAAAACATCCCTCTGTTCGCAAGTCTAAATTATTGAAAATGAGATGGATTCGAAAATAGATATACTTGGGAGAACTGTTGCAGTTTCACCTATTCTCTCAAATAAATTACTCAAAAAAAACCTAATGTAAGATATGTAAGAGTAGGTTATCAAACCTGATCATTACTGCAAGGTTTAAGTCACAGTAGGTACAAAAGTATGATAAACTTAGTAAAGCTAATTATTGAAATAATCGATGGGAAATGTATACATTTGATATAGATCTTTATCTCTGTCCAATAAAGTGCATCTCTTCTGCACTTCTCAATAACCATAATACTGTCTGATATAGTAGGCAGTAAGGCAATCTCGGATACTATAGCAAGAAGTCATTGGCAATTTGCGAAGTTTGATTTTACTACGAACCTCTTATAAAGTGAGATGTTGTGGTAACGAGAAGCAATTGTCAATTAGTGCTAAATTGTTTTCTGCTCTGATCACCATAACTACTGATTAAGACGGAATGAGAAAAGAAACAATTTTACTAGCCACCACAGCGATAGACACTAACTGGCGAAAAATCCATGATATTCATAGCATCTCTCATGAAATTCGTAACCATCCACAGGATGATTTAAAATGAACCGATTATCAGTAAGTCGACTAATAGGGATAACAATGCAGCTGGATAGATTTAACTATGGATAGAGCAAAATAATATCACAATGAAGCAATGCTACTTATCATAATGTAGATTTTCTGGGAATTAATCATCCTTTCCAGCTGAATAAGAGATTGATTTTTTTTTCACACTATTATTACTGCTTCCGTTTCATCTTATTTTGCAATACATCTAACAAACTGCATCATTAATGTCAAGTTGAAAGAGAGAACTTTTACTACTCAGCATAATTGTAGCATATGTGCACGTGAACGTTGTTTAATATGAAACGATTAGTTTACAGAAGTAGGAATAGCAGTGGAACTAAATACTACTGTCATTCTAGAGTAAATCAGTGCCAAAAAGAGTGGGTAGACTTTTGATGGGTAGAAGCTAACAAAACTCTAGTTGCTTCAGTCATGTGTAGTATAGTGCTGTTTGTACAAATTTAGAGATTCTGAGTGAAAAAATGCAGTTACTGTACTAGTTCAAAGTCACAGTTTTGAAGGTGAGTTACACCTTATAAATTAGAATTCACAAACCAAAACTAAGTAGCCGGATTGAGGAGCTGGGTACTAAGTGTCAGTGTTCAGCTTTCAATACATACGAGTTGTAAATCAAAATTATTTGATAACCTTATAAAAACTGGTAACTTGGAATTTAACCGTAAAACTTAGCATGTAATAATTTTGGGTACAGTTCATTAGGGTGAGCACACTAACAAACTATAAGAGTAGTAGTTAGTAACTTCTGATTCTTTAAATGAAGAATGAATACATCAGGAATATTACTGAAATAAAAATTACCTAAAAACCCTTAGCATTGTAATTTCTTACAACTTTACTGAACGTCTCCTCAGAATTACGAATAAATCCCATGTCAGTTTTGTGTGATACATAGCTTTAAATCACTAATGTAGTCTCCTAGGGAAGCAGGATTCTGTGCAGTTCCTTCCAATTAGTACGTACATCTTGGTATAATCATCCCAATTAAAATAAAAATCACAAAGCTTGGTCAGCTGTCGAACACTTAGCATTTTTATTTTTTCGCTCATTAACACAAGCATGGAAAACCAGCGACACAGATATCGTAGATTATGGGATAACTCACCAGTAACTCTGTTTCAGACTTCTGTTCTTTACTTTGACGGCTGTTACCAATCAAGTCATCTTTGGAAATGTCATCCTTTTCAAACCAACTGCTTGAAGAAGAATCACTTGACAGCTGCTGTACAACTAGGGACACTAGGCTGCGTACACTAGTTGTGTTAGCGCCTGGGCTGATAACAGCCACATGTCCATTATCCTCCAACACAAGGCTTTTGAGATGACCGTAAATTACTGAATGGTCTGGAGTATTGACACCAGCTAGTAATACAGCTGTTGGGATTTGATCAGTGTTGTGAACATGACTCGCCTTCGAACTGTGAGAAGACAACCAGGAATTATGTGAGTCCTGTATAAAAGCATACACATCAGTGAAGACATTTTTGGTAAGAAACCTAAGTTGAACCTGCATGAATTAAGGTTAGGTAGATGTCTTTCATACTTCAATACGTGAGCTCATAAACTTCCATATATTAAGAAATTGATTATATCGCTCGTTAGGTACAACTTCAAGGCCTTCGTAAGATGTACCTTATAAAAATAGTGTTAATGCTACATACCTTTTGCATCTCCATGATAAACAGCAACATCCTACTTATCAAAAATAAGAAGGCAATAGAAAAACCAAATTACCGCCATAACCGACTTCACCGCGTTGAGAAAGGGATTTCAATAAGCAACGATTTTCCAACAATCTTCAAACTTCAAACTTCGTGTTGTAGAATTAGTGAACTGCGGTTCCTTGGGTTCTACGTCTGTCTTATTGGAATACGTTCTGAGTTTGTTCTGGTCACAATTATCTTCCTGGTTCTGAAAAACCTGAACGATAGAGATACGAATAATTAATTAATCTGGTCTGAAGTTAGTATTGCTGCATCTGATCTGGGGAAACCTTCTCGAGAGTAGCCTGATCAAGCAGCTAAGTTACAACCCGAAATGCCCGTATCGGCTTATGTTACAAAGAAAACAGATGGAAAAGGTTTAGGCCTGTCCACAGGATCAACCTGAGGACCTTCGGATGGTAGTGAAATAGCGGAACTGTTGAGTGGCCGATTTGACGAGCAGCTTAACACAGTGCTGCATCCACTAACAACATCCATTAGTGTAGTGAAGTTCCACGACTGCGATAGAAAGCTAATGGACGTAAAGATTTCCGAAACTTTCAACTCTGAGAATAGGGAAATCTCTTGGTTGTGATGGTACAAAACCAATCGTCCCATGGAACTGTCCTGAAGTCCTGGTTGTACCCATGTGCAACCTGCTGTCGCACTCGATGGGAATAAGTCAACTCCCCAAGAGAGTGGAAACGTACTCTCCTTTCACCAATCTTCAAGGGGGGCCGCCGAAAAGTCGTGCAATTATGAACCAAAAGCGCCACTTAACACACTATCCAAGGTACTGGAAGGCCTGATTACAGATTTTGTTTGGGACTTCCTAAACGGAAACAACATCTTTCACCCCACCCAACATGGATTCAGAACCGGCCGGTCATGTGCCACACACTTGATGACCGCTGGGACGGCTAGACCACCAGATAGGACAACTGTCCACGTTATCTTTCTGGGTTTGGCCGAAGCTTTCTATAATATCTGGTACTACACTGTGCTGGCTGAACTTGCAAAGGTGGGTGTCAGTGGACCACCCTGAGCATGGTTTACAGCATACCCTCAGAACAGAGAATTCTGTCCTAAAGTAAACAAATTCGACCAGCCTGGAGGAGTGCAAGAACAACAGTTTCTCAAGGACCCGTCCTTTGTCCACTTCTATTTTTAACATTCATCAGCGGCCTTCCCGCTCAGATCTCCCTGTCTATCCCCCTACTTGTCGGTAATATCAAAATAAAGAGGACAACAGGTGGGGAAGACGATCTTAGGATACTCCAAGGTAGTCTTCTGCAGCCAGAACCCTGGTCAGCTGTAGATGTTTTAGGCCTATACCTGGGGAAGTGCAAGATGATGTATCTTCACACGCCAGAGTGGCGAGAACCAATTACACTCTCAAAAAGTGTTCAATCACCAGAGTATTCTCAGAGAGACGCCTAGGACTGAACACCTCCGGCACACTGGGTACTAGTGTCAACTATAAGGAAATGGCGGTAAAGGCGAACGCCATCATGCACTTTCTAAGAAGGAGGCTCGGATCGTTAAGCCGGAAATCTTTCTTTATCGTATTTAAAACCTATATTGCACTTCACCCAGAGTTATTCAACACGACAGCCTCCACCTCTACTAAAGAGAGATGCGAGTAGTCTCGACAAGGTACGGAGAAGAGCAACAAGTTCTGGTGTCAGACTAACAAGCGAAACAAATGCACAATGCCTCGGATGACCTAACTTGTCCACATTAAGCTGCCGAAGGAAAATGGGTGGCCTAATAACACCCTACGAAATCATTCACCACCCAACTGGGTCAACACCGTCGGCCCGGAACCGACAATCCATAAGAACCCCATCGCATGTTCCACAAAAAGGCGAGGACGAGAGTGAGATCTAACTTCTTTCCACATAGGTCGTGTGCCTTATGAAACGCCCCTCCTAGGAAGTCACCATGGCTACTTCACTTGACTCCTTCAGGAGCTGTCGGATAACTACGTGAGCGCGGACGGCTTACCAGGAACATTCGGATATGCTCAGGCCCCTCCATATTCCTTAACCCTAGTATCCGCAATATGAAGCATTCCTACTCCATATCATTACCAGTGACGCTCATTTTTCCATAAGTACTTTTCACCCCTCTTTTGCTCGCTCCTCACCCACCCCATTTCTAGCGCTTCTTAAGCAGCGCCTAATACTTACTCGCAGGCGCCTAAGCGGCAGGTTAATTGGTCTTATCAGCAGCTCCGATGTCCTCCAGACGAACCAAGCTGCGTTTTGCAAGAATCAAAACCTCCAAATCGAGAATCGGTGCCTCCAAAGCGATAAGCAGGAAAAACGCGAACAAAAAGAACCGAGCCTCAAGACCTAGAAGGGAGAGATCATAAACCAAAAGTTTCCTTTGCTTGCACTACTGATGTTGGATGCTGTTAGATGTTCAGTTAGAAAGAGGAATTCACAGACTGCAAACTTTTTCCAAGGCGATGGTCGAAGTCCTCCAGGCTTTTCATGGTCACCCCCCAGAGGATAAGCCTTCTAACATTCTTTTGATCTAGGGATTTTAAACTGTGCATTGGCATGCATGGCGGTCTGAGAGATGTATCAAACCAGAACATTATAGCAGGAGCACTGTCATACTATAGGTTAAAACTGTTGCTTGGGTGAAGCTTGCATGGATGGTTGCCTACCTGATCACCTTCCTACTTGCCTGACTTTGTTCTAGGTAGGTGCCAGAGGGTACTAACAGTTTTGTTAACCAGCGTATGAAAACTGAGCGGAATTCTCAGCAATCCACCAGTGGTGATCTGGGGCCATTTCTGGATATGGTCGCTTGAGACTTGTTCCATCATCATCATACAATTTCCTGTTTGTCATGAAACTGAATCATCAACGGTCCGTTCATAAAAACAGTTGGCGGTGCATGCTGCTAATTGATGCTGACATTGTAAATGTGTTCATTTGTCCTTACCGTATTTGATCGATACTTGGCTGAATGAGATTCGCAAACTGCATAGCATGTTGAATATATCCTCCGTCGTCCCCCACCTACATTTTCTGTTTCTTAAGTTCACTGACACAGAAACCAGCAGCGTCTGGAGCTGCAGGAAAACATGAAGGTATTTTGGCTAATATGAACATACTTGGAGTCAGGTGCGTTTCCTTAACAATTCCTCTAACGCAAAACTAAAGACAGATAATTTAAATAAATCTATGCATATCCCTCTATATCAGATCAGATGGAGTAAGCCCATTGCGAAACCCGCCTTGTGCGCTGGAATTTAGGGTGACGTCAAATAAATTTCAGCCGTTGAAATCCGCTGATTCTTCGATCAGCCAAGCAACTTTTTTCATTTACATATTCAAACGTAATATGCTTTGGTGCACCTGACGGGTTCTGACGAAACTATTCCTCCTGGATACTAGAGTTGAAATTTGCAGAAATAAGGCTCTCGACCGTTATGTTCAGCAAGATTACGAATCCTGGATGTGAAGTGGTATGAACATATATGGATTGCGGTTCTGGGACCATCAATGAAGTATGATAAATAAACGACCCGCGTATATCCCCTCGTGAACTTTTCATTGTTATCCTAAGTAAAGTGTACAGGGTTTTGCAGTGGAAGTAGTAGCTTCAAGCTTTATTCTTCTCCAGATGATGCATGTAATGTCGAGATACAAACCCTGCCTTTTTTGTTGATGCGAAGACGATACTTCCATTCACCGAACCCGTAAAATTTTGTACACCTTATCTGTCCCGATGTTTCATCATATAAACATGCAGCACTTTCATCCCCTAGCGACAGAATAGGTGGGGACTGAGACTAAATGCCATAAAGATACATGTAGTTTATATTACACCATTCATGCTTGCAAGATGGTGTGCGCCTGTATGTTCAGGAATAGATATTATTATCACTATCAGCCAGCCTTCCGAGTGTTCAAGGAAAGCTCTCAGTTTTTCGACGCCACCTTTAGGACTAGATTTCCGGAAGGTTTTGTATTACGTGGAACGACTGTGCAGGCGCCAATATTTAAAAGGGTGTTTAAAGTTGGTACTTAAGATGAAATTATTTCACAGGTATTAAACGGTTGGCCACAAGTCCCTGTTCAGTTCTGAAAAGGAGACTGAAAAGTGGTTATCACACCCGAGGCTAGCAGTTGGAGCCAAATGCCCCACTACCACGAAGACAAAGCAGTGAAGAAAAACTCAGAAGGGGAATCGAGTGGTACGCCACGGCTGTAGTAAGCTTAGCCCAAACCTTGGAAATGGTATCAGTTGGAGGGTGGGTCTAGTGTTAGCAGTCCCAGTATCCACAGCCTCGAAAGCTTGCAGCATAACTGCCGCAGTTAAGAGATGCGTGGCTACATTTGGGTGGTTCGTTTATACGCCGTCGTTTATTCACGGGCCTTGGTCACGATGGGTGCGGTTTTCCTCCTGATCTTAAGACTAAGCAGTTCTCCAGCTGTTTGGCCCACTCACAGCCGTTTTTAAATTGGTGTTGGCAGTAAAGAGTATTTTTCACCTAGAACACGTTGAGGCGCCCTAAGCAGACCCACGTGCTTAATAGCCTTTGTATGACGCAACTAAGAACCACTTCGATCCGCTTTTGCTGACTCTTGGTCCCAAACGAACTTTCAGTTGACAGATGGCGAATCTCGAATGGCGGCGCCTAAGGTGTAATTTCAGGATCGTTGCCAACCCAACTCTCGCAAACTCAATCTCCAAGAGTGGTTTCGATGATCAAAGGCGGAAGTCAGCCTTTCGAAGCGGTCACGTAGCGTTGCATTTGTGACCATAGACCGTAGACTGTCTACCTGTGACGGTTCTACGGTTCGCTCCGCGGGAAAAGTCCAAGGAACATTTCAGTGTCGGGGTCCGGCAGAACCATGATTGCAAAGCTGAGACGTAAAGCAGTAGATATCAGAGTACCACCATGCATGCTCTGTGATGTTATTCAGCCCGGTTTGGGAAAACTCTCCCATACTGGATACTGTGTAGAATGATAAATTGGAACATCGATCTTTATTTGATGGATGATGGTACACT